ACGAAGAGCGAAGGGTCAGCAGAGGACGGAAAGAACTGCAGGTTAGCTAGCGTGGCACGCAGCGTGTCGTGCCACTCATGGGGCGCCTGTCGCAAGCCGTAGACGGGGCGCCGGAGGAGCCACTGGGTCCCAGGAGGGAAAGTACCGGTGAAGCCCTGAGGGCGGCGCAGGTAGACCTGCTCGTGTAGGCTGCCCTGAACGAAAGCAGTGGAGAAGTCGAGGGAGTGAAGCTCGTAATCACGCAGTGCTGCTACGTGTAGCAGCACCCGAAGAGTAGTCATCTTCGGGGTCGGGGCGAAGGTCTGAAAGAAGTCCACCCTCTCTCGCTAACTGAAGCCTCTAGCCACGTAGCGCGCCTTGAAGACAGGCGGCTCTCCAGGGGGGCGCTTCACCTTGAAGAGCCACCGGCCATCGACTACGTTCACCCCAGGTAGGGGAACTGCGTCGACGTAGGTGCCGGTAGCCCTCCAAGATGCCATCTCTTGCTCCATGGCAGCTATCCACTGAGAAGGCCAGGGTCCCGAGGTCGCCTTAGCGTAGGTGCGAGGGGTCGGGATGTCAAAGGCGTCGGGGTCACCCTCAGGGACTAGCAGCATGGAACAGAGATGGGGAGCAGCCTCTAACAGGAAAGCAAGCTCGTACTGCCGGTCCTCCAAGACGTCATTGCCGAGGGCAGGAGCACCCCCGACGGACGGAGGACAGACAGGGTCAGAGACCAGAGCGGTAGCGAAGTCAAGGAGGCGAGTAGAGGCAAAGTCAGCGACAGCAGCGACAAGAGCGTCAAGACTGGAGACAGGAACAGACGGGTCGGTAACGAGGGAGGCAAGGACGCGAGGAACAAGAGGACGAGCAGCACGAAGGTAGTCAGACAGAGGGGGAGGCGCGACAATGAGCGACGACGGAGGAGGGGAAGGCAAACGGGGAGGATGAGACGCGTGGGAACGAAGCAACATAGGGTGAGAACGCTGAACAGGAGAGATAGGACGAGCAAGAGGGACGGCAGACAGACGTGAGACGTAGGCGTCGGGTCAGGAGACAGAGGAGGAGTAACAGGAGGGGAACGAGAGGGGAAACGAGCCGGGGACGAGTCCGGCGGAGGAAACACAGGACCGTGAACAGGAAGAGGGGGAGACGGCGAGGGAGGCGCAGGCGAGCGGTCAGGGGAGGGAAGGCCGAGCAGGCGAAGGGCGGACACCGGCGGCGACTGCTGCTGCTGCTGCTCAACGCCGACACCTGGACCACCCGCTGCACAACTACTACCTCCAGTACACTCCACGCCAGCACCCCCAGAACGAGAAACGTCTCCAGCGCCGGTGCCACCCCCGAGCCCGCCGGGACAAGCCACGACAGGAGCCCCAGGACTAGCACCCTCTCCAACTCCAGCACCCGCAGAGTCCACGAATGGTTGCGGCTGCGACGACGGCTGCGGCTGCGGCGGCGGCTGCGGCGGCGACTGTGACGAAGGAGGAGGAGACACCGGGGGAGGGACAGGCGGCGCAAACTGCGCCGCGGGGCCACCGGAGTCAGCCGACTCCTCGACCGGGACAACCGACGGGAGGAGAGTGACGTGAGACTCACCGGACGGAGCAGGACGGGGAGGGAGGGGAGCAGGGGCGACTGGGGGAGTGGGAACCAGAAATAGGGGGGGGGGGAACCAGGAGACCTCGGTGAGGAAAGCGGTGGAAAAAAGGAGAGAGACTTGTCGAAAGTGACGTCACGGTAGTGAAGGAAGCGGTGAGACGACGGGTGGTAGAAGTGCCAGTCAGACGAGTGAAGGGGGAAACCGAGGAAGACACAGGGGACGGTGCGGGCAGTGAGCTTGTCCATACGGGAGGCACGAACGTGAGCGAGGCAGCCCCAGACGTGGAACGCAGACGCGTCACCAGGGAACCTGGTCCAAAGAAGGGTCGGCGAAACCTTCGGCCGCTGAGAGCGAGGCCAGAGGTTAAGCTGGTGAGCGGCGTAGCAAACGGCGAACGGCCACAGAAAATGGGGTGCACCGGCATGGATCATGGAGGTACGAGCCACCTCCATAACAAAACCGATGCCTCGCTCAGCGACCCCATTCTGCTGCGGGGAGTCCGGTAGAATGTACGTTTGGGTGATACCCTCCGCACGACAGAACCGACTCAGCCGACCAGAGGCGAACTCGCTGCCACGGTCGGAGTGGAGACAGAGCACGGAGGGGGCGTGCAACGACCGCGGTGGAGGCGCGCAGAGACGAGCCATGGGATAATCACGCCAGGCACGTCGGCCTTCCGCTCATGGGGAAACACCGTGGTGTAGCGCGTGAAGTCCTCAACGAGCACCAGAAAGTAGCGCTCGCGACGCGATCCAGGGACAGGGGTTGGACCCCAGACGTCCAATCCATGTGCAGGGTCTGAAGGGGTGCAGTGGCAGGGTGAAGTGAGGAGGTGTGAGGAGCACGGCGCAGCTGGCCCTCGACGCAGGGCATGCACGGCGGCGCAGGCGAGGGAGGGAGAGCAGGGAGCGACGCAGGGAGGCCGAGGACTAGACCGTGCTGAGACATGTGACGCAGGCGGAGGAGCGTGGGGTGACCTAGGCAGTGGTGCCACAACAGTGACGGGTGAGTGAGCGATTGACACGAGCAGCCGCAGCTACCTGGGTGGACGCAGATCCGGAGGAGGACTCGCCCGCCGGGGGGGAGCAGTGTCCAGCGTAAACAGGCCAGACACAGGGTCCCGAGGGAACGTCGCAAGGGGGGCACCTGAGGCGGCCTCGGAATAGAACGCGTACCGCTCGTGACCAGGGAACGTAGTGGTGACGCCGAGGTCCTGAAGACAGCCGACACCAACTAAGTTCCTGGAGAACGAAGGGATGTGCATGCCTGTAAGGGAACCCGAGGGAACCGCCGGACAGGGAAGGGTAGTGTAGCTGCGAGCAACTACAGGACCAGAGGAGGGGTCCGTTAGGGCGACAGCGGCAGGTGCAGCAAGCGGCGTGAGGGCGGCGTGGTCGCGGAAGAAACAGGCTGACGAACTAGAGTCTAGAGTGAAGGACAGCGACGCCGTAGTGACAGACGACGGAGGAGCAAGGGAAGAGCCTAGGCTAGACAAAGCAAGCTGCCCTACGCCTGACGCAGCAGGGGAGTCTGGACTACACACAAGTGCTAAGCCTAAGCTAGAGAACACAGAGTAATACGATCCGGAAACACTCAAAGCGTCAGCATACAGAGAATGCAAGGCGGAAATAATCTGATCCATGTCTATGTCAAACACAGACACACCGTGGCGCAGCAGGCTGGGCCAGTCAGGGAGGTCCGGGGCCGGACCAAAGCGGCGACGGAAGAGGTCGTCGAGGCGGCGGAAGCAGCGGGCAGTGGGGTGCGAGCGGCGGCACACCGTGCCACGCAGGGGCCCGGTCTGAAGCTGGTACTGGCAGCTCACAGCACCGAAGCTGCTGGTGGACGCCGAGCTGCGAGGGCCACCACCACGACCACCACCGCCAGGGGCTCCTGGCCACCCGTGCGGGAGACGAGCCCACGGCTACTGATGCTGCTGCTGCTGCTGCTGCTGCTACTGCTGCTGTGACGGCTGCTGCTGCTGCGGCGACTGCTGCTGCTCCTGGGCACCAGCACCAACCCCCTCGTCAGAACCACTTTCCCCGCCACCACCACCACTAGCGCCACCTCCACGTCCTCCCTTGGGGCCACGTCGGCCCCGACGCTGGCGCTGCTGCGGGTAAGCCGCAGCTGCTGTCTCAGGTGCAGGCGCAGTCGTGGCAACTGCGGCGGAGACGTCAGCGTACGTGCACTGGGAGGGGGCACAGCCCCGAAAGATAGGGACTGCTGCAACACCACTCGACTGAGCGATAGTGCGCTGGCGAGTCTCTATCTCAGACAGAGTAGTGACAAAGACGGCCAGGGTGAGGTCGGCAGGGTGCTGACTAAGGAAGTGGTCGCGGGCAGTGGCTAAGCGGTTAGGCAGGCGCATGGCGATGAGGTACAGGGCAGCGCAGAAAGGTGGGGGGAAGGCAGTAAGCTGGGCGGCAGAGCTAGCAGCGCAGTAGCTGGTCTCTAGTGCATGGAGGTGAGTAGCGAGGTCAGCTACTGTAGGGAAAGCAGAAGAATTAGGGAAGAGCATGGGTAGGATCAAGCGGCCAGCAGAGGCGGAAGCAGGTGTGAAGTAACACTCAACTACTACAGCGAGAAAGTCCTTGGCGTTCGCGACAGCGGTAAAGCACGGACGCTCAGACAGGGGGGAGGGCATGGCTAATGGTAAGCTGGGCTACTACGTCGCGAGAATCCCAAACAGCTCGAGCAAGCGCAGTAGCAGCAAAAGCCTCGCTCTCAGCAGTGGTAGGGTCAGCAGGGACGGGATCAGGTACAGGGGGACGGGGAAGCAAACCATCAACATGCATAGCCAGGGAGTGCCCATCCTGGCGCTGACCTGTCAGGTGCCGTCGGAGGTCGACGAGCCAGGCGGCGAAGTCGATCGCGTGCCCCTCAGCGTCCAAGCGAAAGAACGGCGTCCGCCATCGCACAGTGTGACAGCGGCACAGCGGCTCAGCAGCGCAGCGTCTCGGCGGCTCGGGGACACGACGGCATGGCGGCTCGGCGGCACGGCGGCTCGGTGGCTCGGGGACACGACGGCATGGCGGCTCGGCGGCACGGCGGCTCGGCGGTTCGGCGGCGCGGGTGCTCGACGGCTTGGGGACACCGCGACTCGGCGGCTCAGGCAACGAGGCCGGCTAGGACGCAAGGGGCCGGCTAGGGCACAAGGGGCTGGCTAGGGCGAGCGGGGCTGGCAAGGGCGCGTGGGGCCGGCTAGGGGCGCGGGGGGGGTGGGGGGGGGCGGTAGGAGCACGAAGGGCCGTAGGGGCTTTACGTGATTTGTCTGGTTTTTCTGTTTCGCCTTGCGTCGGCGCGCGTTTTTGCTACGCTATGCTTGTTTGGCCTTGTTTAGGGATGTGGCGAATAAGTTTGTAGGGGCAGCCAATCGGACATCACTGTGCGATGCTGAGGTGGCTGCCCTCGTTTCTGATCTTGGCGTATTAGACCGGGCAAAGGGATCACAAATGGATTTCGCATTTCTGATTCTGATCCTACTTCATATGAATTCGCCCTCACTCTCCCCACTTGCGAATCCGCCATATCCCGCATCCGCGTACGCTTGCTTGCTTCTGCTCTTAACAGCTATACAATTCAACATAAATTGCAACAATCAACAATGTACAGGGACCAGAAGCCTGTACAGGTGGACACACAAGCAGCTTCTCCTCCTGGCAGCATTCCTTTGCCCAATAATCTTCCTCCAACCCTCCCCCCCTCTCTTCCCCTCCCCCTCACCCTCTCTCCACCCCTCCTGCCCCGTTCCCCCTCCCATCCCCCCAACTCTCCATCTTAGTCCGTCATGCCCCTGCGGCTGGCTCTTGTGCGATTCGCCCGCGTGGAAACCATTGAGTCCGTGGCACCGGCAGCAACAAGTGGCTTGTAGGGGTGGAAGTGCAGCGCGCTCACAGGCCCGATGCGGTGCGCTGGCACCCACCCCAAGTGCCCCCACCCTAACTCTTGTGCGTCTCCCCCCTTCCCCCCCGTTTTTCCTCCCCTAACTCCGGTGCGTCTCCCCCGCATAAATGGACACAATTGAGTCAGTGGCACCGGCGGCCAGCAGCGGCTTGTAGGGGTGGAAGTGCAGCGCGCTCACAGGCCCGATGCGCTGGCCAAGGAAGCTGTTGTGGTAGCGCACCACGCTCAAGAGGTCCCCAGACATGTTGAATACCTGCGAGAGGGAGAGAGAAACAGATAGGAGGAAGGAACGGAAGATAGATGGTTGGTTGCAACCTTTGCTGGCCTAGGAAGCTGTTGCGGTAACGCATGACACTGAGGAGGTCCTCAGGCATGTTGAACACCAGTGAGGAAGAGGGGGGGAAGGAAGGGGAATGGGAAACAACAAAAACGAGAGACCTTCAGTTTTTTCGTTTCTTTTTTTTTCTTTTTTTCCCGCATTTCTTTCCAGGCCCTCCTGGTCGCCTGATTTGCCACACCATAGAACTCACTCTAATCAATTGTTTTGAGCTGCCCGTGGCCATGACGGGCAGGTGACGATGAACAGAGAGAGCTGTGAGGTGCCCCTTGTGCGCCTCCACTCTTCTGATTGGCTGCCCTGGATTCCGGGCATCCAAAAATGCGATCTCACCCGAGCTTGAAGCAGAGATAATCTGTAATAATCAGAGCAAGGGTAAGAAAACAGATTATAAGCTGAAAGCCAGAGATCCTTCTGCTTGCCAGAGCACGTTAAAGCACACGCACTCGTAACATACGTACGGCATGGGAAAATTGAAGTAGAAGTTCATATAACGTACATGAGGCATCGGCGTGTTTATAGAAGGGGTGCTTATAACGTATGTGAGGAATGTGAGTGTTTGTAACAAGGGTGCTTATAACGTGCGTGCGACATGCGAGTGTTTGTAACAAAGGAGCTAATAACGTACGTGAGGCATGTGAGTGCTGGCAGGATGGAAAGCGATTCCCGCAACTCGATGCGAGTGATGGTGGGTGCCACACACAAGCCTGGAAAAACGAAGGGGGGGAAGGGTGGGTGTTCAAGAGGGAGGGGACAAGGGGCTCACGGGAGGAAGACTGGCGGAGAGACATAGGCAGCATGCCAGGAGAGAGGGTCACGGCAGAATCGGGAGGAGGGGAGGGTGACGTGTGGAAAAAGAGGGGCTCGTCAGACTCGGACGTTCCTTCACATGCTTTCTAACGGGTCCTCATTGTTTTTCTAACAGCAAGCACACATGCACTTCACAGGGTGCACAAAATCAAAGGCGCAGACTTAGTCAGGTGAACTGTGAGCTGACTCAGGCCATCAAGGGGGGGGTATGAACTTGCACCTTGCGACTGGCACACTTACTGCGCTCTTGGTTGTGAGCGAATGTCAAAAAGTCTCACGGAGCCATCGTCGCACCCTGCTGCCACATAGCTGGGCTGGATGGCGGATGATGCCTGCGAGGGGGGGGAAAAGGGGGGGTGTGGCGGGTGGGGGGTGGGGAGAGGGGGTTTGGAACAGGGATAGCTGACAGCAGAGCAGGATTAAGAGCGCCATCGCTCCACCCTGCTGCCACGTATCTGGGCTGGATGGCGGATGAAGCCTGGGTGCGGGGGGGAAAGGGGGGTTGGGGAGGGTGGGACAGGGATAGCTGAGAGCAGAGAGTGCAAGAGTTGCAGAGCCATCTCACCAGCACAGTGACGGTCTGCCGACACACACTGTGAACCAGAGCAGATACCTGTCTAGGTGTGCCTGAAACCATCCCTTGAGCCAAACAGATGATTTTTGAATCGACTCAAAAATCACTGTGAACCAGCAGATACCTGTCTAGGTGTGCCTGAAACCATCCCTTGAGCCAAACACGGGACAGTGCTCAAGAACCACAGCTCGTGTGACCTGGGACGCGCATAACAGTTCTCACCAGCCCTGTGACAGAGGAATCACACTCTGTTGCCACGCTGTGGTCCAGAGCCTGCTTTTGAGTCGACTCAAAAAGTATAACAGCTCTCACCAGCCCCGTAACGGCGGAATCACACTCTGTCGGCACGCTGTGGTCCAGCAAATGCCAGTCCAGGGCGTGCTTCGAGTAGCGCAATTGCTGTTTTTAGTGGGCTCACACACACCACGCCACAGATGCATTGCACTCACCTGCGCAGTAACGGCGGAGTCCCACTCTGTCGGCACGCTGTGTGCCAGCGGCTCCCTGACCAGGTGTGCTTCGAGTAGCGCACTTGCTTGTTTCTAGTGAGCTCACACACACCACACAACAGCTGCACTGCACTCACCAGCGCAGTAACAGCGGAGTCACACTCTGTCGGCACGCTGTGAGCCAGCAGCTCCCTGTCGAGGTCCCACACCAGAATGGACGAGATTTCTCCCGATGCGTACTGGTGGAGGGGAGGGGTAAACAACACAGAGAGGAATAGGTTCAAGGCAATAAGCAAAGAAGGAGAATGGAGGTAGGCTCTGCGCCAGAAGCTCCCTGTCCAGGTCCCACACCAGAATGGACGAGATTTCTCCAGATGCGTTTAGGGTTTAGGGTGGGGTGGATGGGAGGGGCATATAGAGACGGGGCAAAATTGTGGTTCTACGTGATTTTTCACTGTGCGGTTTCTTCACTGTGCGCCAGCAGCTCCCTGTCCAGATCCCACACAAGGATGGAGGAGATCTCCCCCGAGGCGTACTGGTGAGGTGGATGGAAGGGGCATAGTGAGTGTGAAGTTTCGTCGCTGTGAGCCAGCAGCTACCAGTCCAGGCCCCACACCAGAATGGACGAGATTTCCCCCGAGGCGTACTGTTGGTGGGAGGGGGAAGGGGGGGAGAGGGGAGAAGGGAGAGGGGAGAGGGGAGGGGGGAGGGGGGAGGAGGGTTGTTAAAGCAGTCAGAGGGGCGAACATAGAGGGGCGAACATAGAGAACATTGCTGTTGTGAGCGAGCCAGCAGGTCCCTGCCAGAAAAGAATAGAAGAGATTTTCCGAGATGCGAATTGGTGGGGGGGAGGGAGTGGTAAAACAGTAGAGCGGAATGGGATCTGGTACCTTCTGGCTTGCGGCATGCATTAAGTACACAAGGAGACTGGATGCATGCTGTGAGCCAGAAGCTCCCAGTTCAGTTCCCACACAAAAATGGAGGCGAACCCGAGACATATCAAACAAGAACGCAAGCAGATCCACGCATATAAAAACTCAAGGCATTCAAGAATGTGCCAGGTACCCCACGGGCCACGGGTTGCTGCCACTCGACCACTGAACCCATTCGCCCTCTCGCCCCCACCCCCTCCCACACCCCCACCACCTCCCATGCCCCCACCCACACCAGCACCAGCACCAGCACCAGAACCAGAACCAGAACGAAAACGAGAAATATCAAGTTTCAAGAGATTCCAAGAACCAACCGGATACCCCATGACTTGCTGCCATTCCAGCACTGATCCTGTCCGCCCTCTCACCCCCTTGAAGCCCCCACCCCCTCCCCAACCCCCACCCCCACCCCCACTCCCCACCCCACCTCTCCCACCAATGCCAGGAATATCAGGACTTAATACGTTCAAGAACGTACCAGATACCCCATGAGTTGCTGCCACTCCGCTCCACCACTGCTCCTCTCCGTCCTCTCACCCCCATGCCCCCACCCACCCCCTCCCACACCCCCCACAGCAGAACTACACATACATATCAAGACTCAAAGACATTCACGAACGTACCAGGTACCCCATCAGTTGCTGCCACTCCACTCCACCACTGCTCCCGTCCGCCCTCTCACCCCCATGCCCCCACCCCCTCCCACAACCCACCCAGCAGAACTACACATACTATCAAGACTCGCCCTATCAACACTCAAGTCGTTCAAGAACGTACCAGGTACCCCATCAGCTGCTGCCACTCCACCACTGCTCCCGTCCGCCCTCTCACCCCCACCCCCCCACCCCCTCCCACAACCCACCCAGCAGAACTACACATACTATCAAGACTCGCCCTATCAACACTCAAGTCGTTCAAGAACGTACCAGGTAACCCATCAACTGCTGCCACTCCACCACTGCTCCCGTCCGCCCTCTCACCCCCACCCCCCCACCCCCTCCCACACCACCACCAGAACCCATCCCTCCCATCCCACCGCTGCTGCTGCTGCTCCCGCTGCTGCCGAAGCTGCTGCCAAACCCGCCGCCGAAGCTACTGCCGAAGCTGTTAGGTGAAGCAAGAGGCTCGGAAGCCCGCCCCTGTTGGCTCCGCTGCTGCTGCTGCTGTTGGTCTAAGCGCTGGTTAGTAGAGTGGTGCTGATGATGCCGATGCGTATGTGAGTTAGAGTCAGTTAACTGTTGCTGTTGTGACTGGAGATTAGAGGATGAGAGGGATGAGGAGAAGTGAGAGGCGGAAGAGGGGGGTTGGAGGAGGGACGGGCAGAGGAGGAGGAAAGGGAGGAGGGAGAGGAGGAGGAGGAGAAGAACTGGGATTGGGATTGGACTGCTTGCCATGCCGTGGCTAGCCGTTGCTTGCCCCGTCGAGCAAAGTCCCTCCACACCCTCACACTGCCGTCCCCTGTGTGACGGAGGGAGGGAGGGAGAACACGAAATGCAAACACCTGTTGAATGGTTGAAATAGGATCAGTGCCGTGCAAGACAGCTATGAGTGAGTGTGAGAGAGGAGGAGAGGAGAAGAGGAGCCCTTACTTACAGGAAGCCACAGGCAGCAGCATGCCGTCAAGCTCGTTGAGCAGAGAGGAGAATAGAGGTGAGTAGCAGACAAACAAGCCAAAACAGTCAAACAGAGCCACGAGAAAGTGAGGAGGAGAAGAGGAGGAGGAGACGAGGAGAAGAGGAGAAGAGGAGAAGAGGAGAAGTGGAGAAGGGGAGACCTTACGGGAGGCCACGAGCAGCAGCGTGTCGTCGAGCTCGTTGAGCAGACGGACAGAGAGTGAGAGGTAGGAAGAGGGAATGACAGGACAGCAGCAGAGATACGGGATAAGGGCAACTTCTTACTGGACGCCACGAGCAGCAGCGTGTCGTCGAGCTCGTTGAGCAGACACAGCTGGCTCACCCCCTTGTGGCCGTCCGCGCTCCCACCCCCACCAGTCTGGTTGTCAAACATGCTCACCGTCAGCCCCTCCTCATAGTTCCAGATCCTGCAGGAAGGAACGAGGGAGGGAGAAGAAGGGCATGTGCCATGTTAGGTACACTCATACATGCAAGCACACCCCCTCCCTCCCGTATGGCCGTCTGGTTGTCAAACATGCTCACGGTCAGCCCCTCCTCATAGTTCCAGATCCTGCAGGAAACAGGGGGGAGGGAGGAGAGGGGGGAGGAAGACGAGAGAAAGAGAAAGAGGGGAGAGAAGGCCATGATGCCCAGTGGTCAATACCATCATGCATGCCAGCACACCCCCTCCCGTCTAGTTGTCAAGCATGCTCACGGTCAGCCCCTCCTCATAGTTCCAGATCCTGCAAGGGAGAGAGAGAGGGAATAGAAGGCCATGATTCCCCGTGTTCAATACCGCCGCACATGGAAGCACCCTCCCACCCGCCTGGTTGTCAAACATGCTCACGGTTAGTCCCTCTCCTCGTAGTTCCAGATCCTGCAGGGGAGAGAGAGAGGGAATAGAAGGCCATGATCCCCCGTGTTCAATACCGCCGCACATGGAAGCACCCTCCCACCCGCCTGGTTGTCAAACATGCTCACGGTTAGTCCCTCTCCTCGTAGCTCCAGATCCTGCAGGGGAGAGAGAGAGGGAATAGAAGGCCATGATCCCCCGTGTTCAATACCGCCGCACATGGAAGCACCCTCCCACCCGCCTGGTTGTCAAACATGCTCACGGTTAGTCCCTCTCCTCATAGTTCCAGAGCCTGGAGTGGACAAGGGGGGGAGGAGGGGAAGTGAAAGAGGGAAGAGAAGAGAATGCCCCAAGTTGATTACCATCACACGTTCCAGCACACCCCACCCTTGCGGTTGTCGAGCACAATGGTCGGCTCAACAGGCATCGTAAGATGCAGGCAATGAAACTAAAACACGCCTTGCCGAGCATCGCCAGTGGTCGTCACTCATGGTCTTGAGCAGAAAGAAACAGGCATTGCCGAGCATCGCCAGTGGTCGTCACTCATTGCCGAGCATCGCCAGTGGTCGTCACTCATTGCCGAGCATCGCCAGTGGTCGTCAATCATGGTCTTGAGCAGAAAGAAACAGGCATTGCCAAGCATCGCCAGTGCTTTTACAGATCACACCATTCAAGACGACAGGTACTGCACAGCACACCATTCAAGAAGGCAGGTACCGCACAGCACAGCTTGAGATGCCACGTACCGTATGACTTCGTTTTCGTCCGCTATGCACACTAGAGGCAGCAAGGGGTGCAGGTGAATGGATTTTCAGGCGCCTCAAAGGCAGACTGCCAGTGCTGCTATGCTATGTACCAAAGAGCTTGAGTTGTTACTTACATGCCGTACAGCTTGCAGTATCACGTACCGTACGACTTCGTTTTCGTCCGCTATGCACACGAGAGGCAGCAAGGTGTGCAGTGCAGGTGAATGGCTTTTCAGGCGCCTCAAAGGCAGACTGCCAGTCTTACACAACGTACCATGTGAGAAGCAAAGCGCACCGTACAGAGCTTGAGATATCACGTACCGTACGACTTCGTTTTCGTCCGCTATGCACACGAGAGGCAGGAAGGGGTGCAGGTGAACGGCCTCCGTCATCATGTCCGACTCCGTGTCAAAGCTGGCGATCTGGTCGCTCACTTTGCTAACTGCTGCACACCGGGGGGGGGGGGCGGGGGGGGGGGATAAGAAGAGCGGCAGGAAGGGGTGGAGTCAGACTCGGTGTCAAAGCTGGCGATCTGGTCGCTCACTTTGCTAACTGCTGCACACGGGGGGGGGGGGGGGATAAGAAGAGCGGCAGGAAGGGGTGGAGTCAGACTCGGTGTCCAAGCTGGCGATCTGGTCGCTCATCTTGCTCACCGCTGGAGAAAGGAGGACGGGCGGATGAACATCAAGGACCGGGGAATAGGAGAGAGAGCAGGATGGGGACTGAGGGAAGAAGGGAGGGAAGGAGGGAGGGAAGGAAGGAGGGAAGGAAGGAGGGACGGAGGAGGGGCGAGAACAGCCTCTGTCATTGGTGTCGAAGCTCACGATCTGGTCGCTCACCTTGCTCACCGTGGCACGTGGTATAAGGAGAAGGGTTGTTGTGGGAGAGGGTTGTTGTGGGAGAGGGTTGTGGGAGAAGGGTTGTTGTGGGAGAGGGTTGTGGGAGGAGGGTTGTTGTGGGAGAGCTTTTGAGTCGACTCAAAAGCAGACGTGGTATACGGAGAAGGGTTGTTGTGGGAGAGGGTTGTGGGAGAGGGTTGTGGGAGAGGGTTGTGGGAGAGGGTTGTGGAAGAGGGTTGTGGGAGAAGGGTTGTGGGAGAGGGTTGTGGGAGAAGGGTTGTGGGAGAGGGAAGGATGAGGAATGGGAAGAGCGGCAATCAGGGGTGCAGTGCAGGTGAAAGGCCTCATGTGCACCCCATGCCTTTCCCCAAGCACTCACTGGCTCGTCTGTGCTCCTCAACGCCCACCACCGCCCTCCTCTCTCTCCAAAAACTCTGACAAACCAAACACTGACTGGTGCTCTTCCACCCCACCCCATTCCCCTGCACCCGCTCATCTAGTTTTGAGGCGCCTCAAAACCCACCCCATTCCCCTGCACCCGCTCATCTAGTTTTGAGGCGCCTCAAAACCCACCCCATTCCCCTGCACCCGCTCATCTAGTTTTGAGGCGCCTCAAAACCCACCCCATTCCCCTGCACCCGCTCATCTAGTTTTGAGGCGCCTCAAAACCCACCCCATTCCCCTGCACCCGCTCATCTAGAAACCACACTTACTGGCTCGCCTGCACTCCTCCACCCCGTCAACCGTCCTCCTCTCCTAACTCTCCTATCTCCTCTCTCCTACCAACCACCCACCACTCATCAAGAAACCACACTTACCGGCTCGCCTGCACTCCTCTACACCCTCCACCGCCCTCCTCTCTCTCGCCGCCCGCCTCGTCTCCGCCTCGGCGTCCGTCACTGCCTCCAGCAGCGGGCGCAAGAAGTGCCCGCAGCTCCATGCGGACAGCTCCGACTTGGGCACGGGCATTGAGAAACCCAGGGAACAACCTCACTATACCATTCCAGCACAACACACACTAACTGGCTCTCTTCCCCCCCATCCCATTCCCCCACACCCGCTCATCAAGAAACCACACTTACTGGCTCGCCTGCACTCCTCCACACCCTCCACCGCCCTCCGCTCTCTCGCTGCCCGCCTCGTCTCCGCCTCGGCATCCGTCACCGCCTCCAGCAGCGGGCGCGAGAAGTGCCCGCAGCTCCATGCGTACAGCCCCGACTTGGGCAGAGGCTTCGCCTGCGCCGCCGCTGCTGCGTCCAGCGGCAGAAACGGGTCCAGGAGGGACGCCCCCAGACCACCGGCAGCACCAACAGAACCACCAGCGCCAGCAGCAGAACTAGTAGCACCACCAGCATTGAAATAAGGAGCACTGGACCCAGGATTGGGATAGGCAGCATAGCTTGCAGGAGCCGCACCAGCAGCGGCACCAGCAGCAGCTGCAGCCGCAGCAGCAGCTCCAGCAGCAGAAGCAGCACCAGGGGAAGTGGCAGGGGCAGCGGCACGGGCAGCGGCGGCAGTAGAAGGTCGAGAGGAGGAGGAGGTGGTGGTAGAGGTGGGGTTTTGGGGGCGACTGGGGGAGGCGGTATGTGCAGGTGGATTGGATGGCTGAGAGGTGGAGTCTGATGCAGCAGCTGCATGCTGCTCGGGGGGGGGCGGATGGAGAGAGCAAGCGAAACAAGCTCAATCCAACAATACGTGTCATCAAACAGTCATCCGGACAGCAGATGACTTGTAACAGTAGATGACAGCAGAGCGAGTGACAGCAGATGACTTGTAACAGGTGCATCAAATGGGACGCACATGCTAGCAAACACGAGTTAAACTGGCCATTAAGTTGAATACACTCACATATGGGGAGGGTGTCTTCCTCCAGTGAGAGCCCCTCAGCATGTGCACCCCCCCCCCCCCCCCCCAACCCCAATGATCTCCCCTTTCCCCATTCTGCAAGAAACGAACTAGTCATGTTTTTCAAACTGGCAGACTCACATTTGGTCTCAAGGGCGGATGCCCCCCTGTGAGAGACGACAGCACGTGCACCCCCCCAAGAATCTCCCCGTTCCCCATCCCCCCCATCTGCCGTTGCTGCTGCTGCTGATGCTGCTGCTGGGACGAGGAAAAATCGACAGAAGTCATCACCCGCCGCATCCCATTGTCCCGAGCCTGCATTCCCGAGCCTGCCGCCAGCATCGGCAGCCCGAGGCTGTCCCGAGCCACCAGGCCAAACGGGTCTCTGGCTTGGAGGAACCCTGAGGCTGCGGCAGCAGAGGGTGACATGGCTAGCTGTGGCGCTGCCAGCTGTCGCCAGCTGCCCATTGGATGAGGAGCTGAGGGAGGGAGGGGCGAATGGGTTGCGAAGGAGAGGCGAGGGAGGGGCGAGCAAGGGGGGGCAATGGGGGGGAGGCAGGAAATCGAAGTAAGCACTCATAACAACAGGCAGAATCTCCAAGGTCGGTGTAGCAGCAGACCAGGACGGTTTTGGCTAGCGGTGGCGCTGTGGCGCTGTGGTATTGCCAGGTGCCGCCAGCTGCAGAAGCAGGAGGCGGCACGGGGGGCTGGAGTAACCAAGAGCAACTATCAGAACCAAACAGTAAGTGGGGCCCACGAAATACAGCCGCCACTCACTCTCGTCACTGACCTAGTCCAAGTGATTGTCAATCAATGTCGCTCCTGCAGAAGCAGAGGCGATCAGGCGATCGTGCGATCGTCTCACCATTGATGGGCGCAACCATGAAGTTTATTTTTGAGGCGCCTCAAAAATGCGATCGTCTCACCATTGATGGGCGCAACCCATGAAGTTGACCGCGTGATCGCAGGAGCCAAGCCAGCAGCCAATGGGGAGGGGACACGTGGACTCATCGCAGGACTCATGAGCCCATGGTGCCCCATACCCCCTCCTACCGCACCCAACCCTGGCAAACCCACAGGCCCTGGCCCCCCCACCATCCCCACTCCCATCCCTCCCACCCCTCCCATGCCCCCTGCCCCTCCCACGGCTGCTGCAGCAGCAAGAGACAGACTCGGATTGCCGATACCGCCACCACCTCCACCAGCACCAGCCGCACCCCCAGCACTGATAATCACTGTCCCGCCCTCCCTGCTGCTGCTTCGACTCAAGTTGCTGAAGCTAGCAGAAGGGGCTAGGCCCCCTCCTGCCATGCCCCCCCCAACACCCATGCCTGGAACCATCATCGGCATCATAAACGCGTCATACCCCATCCCAGCTCCAGCCATCCCTCCTCCGAATCCCCCTCCCCCACCTCCCCCCATTCCTCCTCCTCCTCCTCCTGCTGCTGCCGCTGCTGCTGCTGCATTAAGACTCGTTGCTGCTGCTGCCACGGACGCGCCTATTTGAGCCAGTGTCTGTCGGCTGATCTTAGAAACGGACGGTGCAGGATCCCTAGCAAGGGTGTACACCGCAATCATACTCTGCAGATAAGTCGCACTGTCAGCAACATCTAGCTCCCCCCATATAAGCCCCCCGTTAGGGCCCATACCCGGACCTACCCTGCCTGCTCCTTGCCCCAACCACCCTGCTCTTCCCCCCCTTACAGTCACATCGCCTGGAGGCATCCCTAACACTCTTCCCGGCGAGGCGCTGACAGGCTCGGCGGAGCCCCTGAGGAAGGAGAGGTCCGGTGCCGAAGCTGACAGGCTGGTTGGGGACGAGAGGGAGAAAAGAGGACCTCGAGACGGGGGGGGCAGTGCAGTGACTGCATCGCCTGTAGCGGCAACAGCAGCTGCCGCTGCTACAGCCGCTGCTGCTGCTACTGCAGCAGCTGCTGCTGTAGCAGCAGAGGTTGACGGAGGGTTCACTGCTGAAAGCCCCATCCCACCTGGATTTTCACCTGACTGCTTAGCGTCACTACCCCTACTTCTGTCTTCACCTAGTGCAGCCTCGCTCTCAGAAGCACCTTCTGCTATAGGAACAATTCCGTTGACCAAGGGCGGAATCACTATTGTAGCACCACTAGCCACACCAACTGCTGCTGCTACTGCAGTTGAGCCTGCACCAGATGCTGACTCCCCTCCTCCTTTACTTCCTCCCACACCCTGCACTTTCACCCCTCCCGCCCCTGCTGTTGCTGCTGCTTCCCCCCCGCCATCCCTCTCCCCTTCCTCCTCATACACTCTCAGATACGAAGCTGACCCTCCCGAAGCTGCTGTGTTCCCCGAACCTGCTGCCGTACCTCCCGAGCCTACTCCCGAACCTGTGGCATCGAACGATTGTGCGAGCATCCGCCCCACCACTGCCGAGCCTGCTGTGGTGGACTGGAGGACCGGGAGAGGTGCGTTCACCGCCGGACCTGGACGGGGATACAGCCTCCCGTCCGTCCCGAGCCTAAGCCCTACCATGTTGACTTGGGCGGCAAGAGAGGGAAGGTTGGCTCCCGAACCAGAGGCCGGTATGGCACCACCAGGAACTCCTCCTACCGACCCCCCTCCGTTCGCTGCTGCTCCCCCTCCTGCAACCCCCCCTCCTGCTTCCCCTCCACCTCCAACCATTCCCAAACCTGCCATTTTTTCTGTGAATCCATGCACATCCGAGCCTGTTTGTCCCGAGCCTGTGCCGAGCCTGTCCAGTTCCGAACCGCACCTGCTGAACCCCATGCCTGCTGCGCTGCCGGCCACGAGCGACGGGCGGCACAGATAAGATGCCGCAGCGAGGCGAAACGGGCGGCGATGTCCGTGAGCTATTCTGGCGAGAGCTATAGCCAGCTCTTTCCTAACCATCGGACTCCCGTCATTCAGAACTTTAAGTAGCACCTGCAAAACCCCTCGCTCTGCTGCTAATCTGTGCTCCTCCCTCCACTCCGCCCCAGCTGAATCCACCCCACATAAGCCTGCACTGCTTACACCTGCACCTGCTGCTCCCTGTGCCCCTGCTGCTGCTGCCCCTTGCTCTGAGCCTGGTGCTCTACTTACAGTGCCTGCTGCTGCCGCCCCTGCTGCTGCAGCTGCTCCTGCTGTGCCTGCTACCCTTGCTGTGCCAGATGAACCCTCCCCCAGAACCGCCCCAGCACCACCTCCTGCACCTGTCCCCGCTCCTGTTGCTCCCGCTCCTACTCCTACTCCTGTTGCTGGGTTCCCTTCCCCTGGCTGAGGCGACTCCGAAGCAATGTGGATTAAAGCGCCCAGGGCATATGTGGCTGCTGCACGCACCTGCAGGTGCAACATGGGACAGAGGGGGGGGTTTGCTGACGGACGAATGGGGAGAGAGAAGGGTTTTGGGGGGGGTTCCAGAAACGCCACCGTGGATTAGGGCGCCCAGGGCATATGTGGCTGCTGCCCGCACCTGCAGGTGGAACATGGGGTGGGGACAGAGGGGGGGGTTTGCTGACAGACGGACAATGGGGCGAAAGAAGGGTTTTGGGGGGGTTCCAGAAACGCCAATGTGGATCAGGGCGCCCAGGGCATATGTGGCTGCTGCACGCACCTGCAGGTTTTGAGGCGCCTCAAAACATGGGGACAGAGGGGGGGGTTTTGCTGACAGACGGACAATGGGGCGAGAGGGGGGTTTTGGGGAGATTCCACACACAGCAATGTGGATCAGAGCGCCAAGGGCACATGCTGAGGGGGCTGCCCGCACCTAGTAGAAGGGGCGTGAGAACAGGGAGGTTTCAGGAGGAGAGCTCTAAGGGTTAGGGCTTCAAGGCCTAGGTTTCTGGATAAAAAATTGAAGGGTTAGTGTTAGGCTTTCTCAGAGAGGATGCGAGGGGCGTGGTGTTGTAGTATTGGAGATTCTAGGGTTAGGGTTTCACACAGTAGGGCTTCTAGGAATTCCGGTTTCACTCTCACCTCAGGCTGCGGCTCTGAGAGCAGGGGCGAGAGGATCTGAGGGGCATGGTGTTGTGTGTGCCACTGGTGCCCCACCACAAGGGGTTAAGGGATTCGGAGCATTCGGGTTCAGGTTTCACTCTCACCTCTGGCTGCGGCTCTGAGAGCAGGGGCGAGAGGATTTGCGGGGCGTGGTGTTGTGTGAGCGCTGCTGCCTGTGCCTCGGGCGCCCCGCCCCACAGCTTGCCCACGCACAGGCACAGCCACTGCAGCAGCAGGGGCTCTGCTGGGGGCGCCGCCTGAATGTGCATGAGACACAGAGGGATGAGCCCGGCCTGGGGAGAGGGGAGGAGGGGAGCGGGGGCCACAGAGAAGGGTAAGGGATGTGAAATGCGGGACTGAGAAAGGAAGGGGGGACCTTGAATACCCACCCACAGCCACAGCGACTGCAACCACACACAACCCCGATTCCAAACACCAGACCCGGAAATTCTACCTGCAATCAAGCCTCGTGTCCCTTGGGGTGGCCGTCGCAAATGAGCGCAAGCACAAACGCCGCCATGGCCCACTGAAAGGAAAGTGAGGTCCACAACCCCTAAACCTTAAACCTGACCATGAACCCTCTCAACCAGCCCACCTGCAAGCACGCCTGGTGGCCCTTGGGGTGGCCGTCGCATGTGAGTGCGAACACAAACGCGGCCATGGCTCGCTGAGAGAAATGCCAGGCCCACAACCCTAAACCTTAACCCGAAACCCACTCAACCAGCCCACCTGCAAGCACGCCTGGTGGCCCTTGGGGTGGCCGTCACAGATGAGTGCAAGCACAAAGGCCGCCATGGCTCGCTGAAACGCCACTGTGGCACGCTCCCTGGGGTCGGAGGAGTAGGGCTCGTGCGTCTCCAGGCACTTGATAAAATACATGTGGCCGCCGTCTCGCACCAGGTCCACCTGGCATGACTGTAGAATGGCAGGAAGGGAGACGGCAGGGAAGAGGGGCAGAGAGACGGAAGAGTAGTGGGCATGGGGTCAGCAAGCGCTCCCTGGGATCTGAGGAGTAGGGCTCGTGCGTCTCCAGGCACTTGATAAAATACATGTGGCCGCCGTCGCGCACCAGGTCCACCTGGCATGACTGGTAACAGGGGAGCAGGGGAGGGAGAGAGCGAAGGGCATGAGGCATCATATCAGAATGCGCTCCCTCCGGTCCGAGGAGTAGGGCCCGTCTGCCTCGAGGCACTTGATGGGACACATGATATACATGATACACATGATACACATGATACACATGATACACATGATCCATATGATACACATGATACACATAATACACATGATCCACATGATACACATTATACACATGATCCACATGATACACATGATACACATAATACACATGATCCACATGATACACATGATACACATGATACACATGATACACATGATCCACATGATACACATGATACACATGATACACATGATCCACATGATCCACATGATACACATGATATACATGATATACATGATACACATGATACACATGATATACATGATACACATGATACACATGATCCACATGATATACATGAGGAGTCTATTTTTTAGGCGCCTCAAAAATAGAGGCCTCGAGGCACTTGATGGGATACATGATACACATGATACACATGTTATACATGAGGAGTCTATTTTTTAGGTGCCTCAAAAATAGACGCCTCGAGGCACTTGATGGGATACATGATACACATGATACACATGACACACATGATACACATGATCCACATGATACACATGATACACATGATACACATGATACACATGATATACATGATACACATGATACACATGATATACATGAGACGCATGATACACATAATTTACATGAGACACATGAGAAGAGGGGAGCAGAGGACGACTGAAAGAGAGGGGACAGAGTGAAGAAGCGAGTAGGGCTTGCGCCTCTACAAGGGCTTGCGCCTCTCCAAGGGCTTGCGCCTCTCCAAGGGCTTGCGCCTCTCCAAGGGCTTGCGCCTCTCCAAGGGCTTGCGCCTCTCCAAGGGCTTGCGCCTCTCCATCACACACCAGGTCGACCTCACAGGAGCACCAGGTCTTTGCGCCTCTCCCTGCGCCTCTCCATCCAAGGGCTTGCAACAGGTCGACCACACAGGACAGGAAAGATGAGGAGCAGAGGGAAAGAAGGACGGGGCGAGGCTACGCCGCAAGGGACGCAGTATGCGAGGAGGAAGAAAACATGTTTCTACGTCGTTCTGCATACCTTATCCAGCGCCAAGATCTTGGTCCATATAAACACGAGGATTTGCCGCAGCTCTACGGCGCTGGTCTGCAGCAGCTTGAGCACGTAGGGGAATATGCCCACTGAGAGCGCCTGGGGGGTACGAGGACGGGGTGGGGCGGATTTTTTAGGCGCCTCAAAAAGATTTGCCGCAGCTCCACTGCGCTGGTCTGCAGCAGCTTGAGCACGTAGGGGAATATGCCCACTGAGAGCGCCTGGGTGGAAGGTACGGGGAAGTTGCAGGGTATTTTTGAGAATTTGCAGGGTATTTTTAAGAATTCTCAAAAATACCCTGCAAAAGCTTGAGCACGTAGGGGAATATGCCCACTGAGAGCGCCTGGGTGGGAGGTACGGGGAAGGGGTGGGGGGGGCACACACGAGGGAAAGAGGCTAAGCTAAGGGCAGTCACCACTGAGTGGCTTCAAATCTCAACGACTTTGAAGTGCAATTGTGTAACCTCTCGAAGTAAGGAATTGCATATTACTAGGACTAAACAGAGGTGAACAGCTCACAACGGAAAGAGAGTGCAGGGGGAGGGGGGAGAGGGGCGAGGCAGCGGGGGGGGGGGGAGGGGGGGAGGGGAACAAGAGGAACCGATTACATGGGCTTACAAGATCAACGGCCCACGGCCCCCCCATGTGACTAAAGACTCACAAGGTCGACGGCCCATGGGCCCATGTCAAGGAATCGGCCAAGAAGCACCAGAGCTCGCAGCCGGTGGGAGTGACTGAGAAGCACCTGAGGGAGGGAGAAGAAAGAGAGTGAAAGAGGAAAGAAGAGGAAAGAGAGTGAAAGAAGGAAGAAGAGGAAAGAGAGTGAAAGAGGAAAGAAGACTTGTTATAAAGTGACTTGAAAGGGCCAGAAAAGAAGGGAGGGGTGTGGAAGGCGAAAGGACAGAACTGGTGGCCGAATAAAAGGCGTGTTTTTGAGAATTCTCAAAAACTGGTGGCCGAATAAAAGGTTGTGGTAAGATCAGCAGGCTTGAGAGAGGAGCAAGAGGGCAAAGAGCAGAACAATGATAAGCAGGCAAGGGTGAAAGAGCAGGAAAGGGGCGAAGGGTGAATGCGAATGTTTTACCACCAACCTCATCTCGTGTGCAAGGCAATCTCATGTGCATCGATTGTTTTGCATACCTGCAGCACAATCGGCAGCTGCTCTGGGGGTCTCTTCTTGTCGCTCCCATGCTCCAGCCACACCCTCCCCCCCCCCCCCTCTTCCCGCCCTCCTTTCTATCACTCCCCCCCCCCCTTTTCCGCCCTCCTTTCTCTCACTTCCCCCCCCTTCCCGCCCTCCTTTCACTCACACCCCCCCCTTCCCGCCCTCCTTTCTCTCACTCCCCCCCCACTCCCCCCCCCTCCCCCCCCTCCTTTCCCTCACCCCCACCTCCCACACCGACCTGCAGCACAATGGGCAGCTGCTCTGGGGGTCTCTTCTTGTCGCTCCCATGCTCCAGCCACACCTCAAACGCCATCAGCTGCTGCGAGAAGAAGCTGCTGGGCTGGCAGACGGCAGCAAGGGGACGGGAGAGGGAGCGGGGGGCCGGGGGGGAAGGAAGAGGGGTTACCCGGGGGGGGCCGGGGGGGACGCGCTTCGGAATGTGCTCCAGCCACACCTCAAACGCCAGTAGCTGCTGCGAGAAGAAGCTGCTGGGCTGGCAGACGGCAGCAAGGGAGGAGCGGCAGAAAAAGAAGGGGGGAGGAAGGGGGGGAGTAATGAGGAAGGACAGCCTCGAATGTGTGTAATGAGTCGATTTTTGAGTCGACTCATTACAGACAGAAAAAGAAGGGGGGAGGAAGGGGGGGAGTAATGAGGAAGGACAGCCTCGAATGTGTGTAATGAGTCGATTTTTGAGTCGACTCATTACAGACAGAAAAAGAAGGGGGGAGGAAGGGGGGGAGTAGTGAGGAAGGACAGCCTCGAATGTTGCTCCAGCCACACCTCAAACGCCATCAGCTGCTGCCTGCAAGACGAAGCTGCTGGGCTGGCAGAAGATAGCAGAGGGGAGGAAAGGAGGAAGGGGCGAAGGGGGAGAGGGGGACGGAGGGGGCTCCGGGGAGGAAGAGTGATGTTTGGGGGAAAGATGGTTACATAGGGCACGTTGGTAACAAGCTCCAGCCACACCTCCCACGCCATGAGCTACTGGGAGAAGAAGCTGCTGGGCTGGCAGACAACAGTAAGGGGACGAGAGAGGGGGATGGCCAAGAGAGAGGGGGGGGGGGAGGAAGACGGTACGGAGGGACACATGAGATTGTGCTCCAGCCAGTTTTTTAGAATTCTAAAAAGCCAGCTTACTTCAAACAACACCATGAGGTGCTGGGAGGAGAAGCTGCTGGGCTGGCTGACAGGGGAGCGAAGGACAGGGAAGAGAGGAGTGAGGAGGAACAGGCGGACGGAGTGTTATAAACAAGGAATGGAAGATAAATAGAAGATAAATAGAAGATAAATAGAAGATAAATAGAAGATAAATAGAAGATAAATAGAAAATAGAATGGAATGGTCCCAGATGATCCCAGGACTGGAATGGCCTGCTATGAAGATCAAGATAAGGAATACCAGATGATTCTTACTTATGCCTCTATCCACTAGCCCACTTAAAACAAATAGGAGTTTCCTTCACAGAAGATGTTACAAAGGCTGTCTAAAAGGAGGCACTAGCTTGCCTAAAACACATGCTTAAAGCTTGCCTAAAGCAAAGGCTTAAGCTCGCCTGGAACTCGGCGTTGGGATCCGCGAGGAGCGTCGGCAGCTGCGCTAGACACATCTCCGCTGCCATGTCCCATGCGTGCCTGGGAGGAGGCGAAACACGGGGGAGAGAGGAGAAAGCTTTTGAGTCGACTCAAAACCACGTGTAATGAGTCTGCTTTCAAGTCAACTCAAAAGCAGCTCTAGACACATCTCCGGCCATGTCCCATGCGTGCCTGGGAGGAGGTGGGGCCAGGGGGAGAGAGGAGAAAGAGGAATAAACATAGGTTTGCATGTGTCAGCACCTGTGAGAGACGCATCTCTGCTGCCAGGGTGTGGAGGGGGGGGGGGGAGAGGGAAGTATGGAGAGAGAGAAAGTAGAACACGGAGGGGTCTGGTCTGGTGTCAGTCAGGGAAACAGAGGTGGAGTTGCAGAGCAGCTGTGAGAGACACATCTCTGCTGCTGCCATGTCCGGCGCTTGGCTGGGGGGGAGAGAGAGAGCGGGAGGAAAAAGAGAGGGGGAGGAGAGAGAGAGGGGGAGGAGAGAGAGAGGGGGAGGAGAGAGAGGGGGGGAGGAGAGAGAGAGGGGGAGGAGAAAGAGAGGGGGAGGAGAGAGAGAGGGGGAGGAGAGAGAGGGGGAGGAGAGAGAGAGGGGGAGGAGAGAGAGAGGGGGAGGAGAGAGAGAGGGGGAGGAGAGAGAGAGGGGGAGGAGAGAGAGAGGGGGAGGAGAGAGAAGGTACATGAGGCAATTTCCATTTCCAGGACACACCTCTGCTGCTGCCATGTCCCATGCACGCCTGGGAAAACGCCTCACAGTACCACACACACATGGTAACAAACGCGGATAAAGAGACGACTTTTGAGGCGCCTCAAAATACGCCTCACAGTACCACACATGGTAGCAAACGCGGATAAAGAGATGACTTTTGAGGCGCCTCAAAATACGCCTCACAGTACCACACATGGTAACAAACGCGGATAAAGAGACGACTTTTGAGGCGCCTCAAAATACGCCTCACAGTACCACACATGGTAGCAAACGCGGATAAAGATATGACTTTTGAGGCGCCTCAAAATACGCCTCACAGTACCACACATGGTAACAAACGCGGATAAAGAGACGACTTTTGAGGCGCCTCAAAATACGCCTCACAGTACCACACATGGTAGCAAACGCGGATAAAGAGACGACTTTTGAGGCGCCTCAAAATACGCCTCACAGTACCACACATGGTAGCAAACGCGGATAAAGAGACGACTTTTGAGGCGCCTCAAAATACGCCTCACAGTACCACACATGGTAGCAAACGCGGATAAGAGACGACTTTTGAGGCGCCTCAAAATACGCCTCACAGTACCACACATGGTAGCAAACGCGGATAAAGAGACGACTTTTGAGGCGCCTCAAAATACGCCTCACAGTACCACACATGGTAGCAAACGCGGATAAAGAGACGACTTTTGAGGCGCCTCAAAATACGCCTCACAGTACCACACATGGTAACAAACGGAAAATGGTCCTGGCACGTGGGAGGGAGCCGCGGGTACGACACCGGCGTGCACCCGCTGGCTCGCATAACCCTCCCTTTCTACCTTTTCCAAGCACACCCCACACTGCCATACCACAGGTGGTGCTGGTGAGCTAAGTGGGCACATTCGCTTGGGGTCCCCCAGCGTATGGCGTAAATTCGTCAGCGTAAATTCGCGTTCGCGAATTTAGTTGAAATACGTGAATTCGCTGGGGGGTTTTTTCGGGGCAGCCTGGAAAAAAAATGCAGAAAAAAAAAAAAAAAAAAAAAAAAAACGAGATTTGCGAAGTTACGGCGAAGCCAACCGTGGCCTTGCCAATTCCCCCAAACAAGCTTCCAGCCCCTTCAAAGCTCCCAACCGCATCAAACCCCCTTGCCTCTAGAAAACCCAACCAAACCACCACGCAACTCACGCTACTCTAGCATGCTGGAGGGCATAGAGCAGAAGCCCAATCTCTCCCGCAGCGTAGATCGAACTACCCTAATTCCGTGACGTTCTAGCTAGTTGATCGTATTTAAGCTTAGAACCTAGCCTACCTCACGAAGATTCAAGCAGAATGGTCGACCCTCGCAGATCGGAGAAGGTGGTAGGGAATCTGGATGGTTGATGATGTTGCTTTTGGGTGTTTATTTGTCGTGTTGTGATGGATCCCCCCAAACACTAGAACCAGCCATGAACTTTAAGTAGCAATATTTATGTCGTGCTAGACCTTTTGTGCTTAAGAAGTGTTGGCATAAAACCTCCCACGCCTGCAGTACCCTGGAAACTGGTTTTTTCCCCTGCCCGGACAGTTTTTTTCTGCCCGGTCCAAACAAATTTCAGGGTGAATTTAAAACCGGGCCCTGGCATATGGGCGAATTTAAGCCAGCGTAAATTCGTAGCGAATTTATGCCAAACGCGAATTTGCCCACTTACCTGGTGAGTAGGCAGGAGCCGCGGGTACGACACTGGCGTACACCCACTCTCTAACTTCCCTAGCACACCCCACACTGCCATACCACAGGTGGTGCTGGTGCGTGGGGGGAAGCTGAGGATACGACACGGGCGTGCACCCACTCGCTCTCATGACCCTCTCCGCCAGCAGAAAGTTCCGGAAGAGCGACGCCACCAGCAGGTTCTGGCGAAACAGGCGCTGGAAGAGCGGCGCGGGAAGGGTGTTCCAGGCGTGGACGGAGGCACCCACCTTGCCTAGTGCTCTAAACTACACCCCCCAGTGCCATACCAGAGGTGGTGCTGGTGCGTGGGGGGAAGCCGAGGATACGACACGGGCGTGCACCCGCTGGCTCTCATGACCCTCTCCGCCAGCAGAAAGTTCCGGAACAGCGACGCCACGAGCAGGTCCTGGCGGAAGAGGCGCTGGAAGAGCGGCGCGGGGAGGGTGTTCCAGGCGATGGTGTCGGTGACGGCAGTGAAGATCCAGTTCAGCTCGCCCAGCGCCGTCTTGCGCTCGCTCTGCCGCCCGGGGATCTTCTCTATCATCTCCGGGTCCAGGGTGTCGCGCAGCAGCGATCGCCCACAGAACCTGGTTCAAGAAAGGGAGCAGAAGGGGAGGGGAGGGGAGGAGGGGAGGAAGAGGAGGGAATGCGTTCAATCATCTCAGGATCCAGGGTGTCGCGCAGCAGCGACCGCCCACAGAACCTGGTTTGGCCGGGGAGAGGGGGAGGGGCAGAGGCGGGGGGTGGGTGGGGGACGGGTGTCGGTGGGGGAGGGGTGGGGAAGGGGTGAGGGCAGCCGGCAGGTCAGTCTCACCTCCCCTTTACCACAAGCAACTCACTGCAACACACTCACCATCTGAGCGCGATCTTGATGGGGGTGGTGAGGCACGCTGTGAAGAGGTCAGCCGGCAGGTCAGGCGGCTGCGGAAGAATCTCCTCCGGGCCGCACGCCGCCAGCAGAATGCGATCGCGCATGCCCGCTGCTGCTGATGTTGCTGAGGCGGCGGCTGCTTCCCTGCCTGCTGCCGTAGGGGAGGATACTGGACTGGAAGGGGCCGCTAGAGCCCAGTCAGGACGCTGTAGGGAAGGGAGGGTGGGACGGGAGGGATGGGTGTGGGGTTGTTGGGGGGGGGTGGGGGGGGGAGGGGGGGGAGGGAAGAGTGAGCAAGGGCAGGATCGCCTCCAGGCCGCACGTCGCCAGCGGTATGCGATCGTGCATGCCCGCTCCTGCTGCTGCTGCTGCTGCCGCTGCTGCTGAGGCGGCTGCTGCTTCCCTGCCAGCTGCTGTTGGGGAGGATACTGGACTGGAAGGGCCGCTAGAGCCCAGTCAGAGCGCTGTAAGGAAGGGAGGGTGGGAAGGGAGGGGTCGGGGTGGCGGGCAGGCGAGAGGGGAGGGGTGGGGGGGGGGGAGGAGAGTCGGCAAGGGGAGGATCTCCTAGGCCCACGTGCCATGCCGCCAACCAGCAGAATGCGATCGTGCATGCCCGCTCCTGCTGCTGCTGCTGCTGCCGCTGCTGCTGAGGCGGCTGCTGCTTCCCTGCCAGCTGCTGTTGGGGAGGATACTGGACTGGAAGGGCCGCTAGAGCCCAGTCAGAGCGCTGTAAGGAAGGGAGGGTGGGAAGGGAGGGGTCGGGGTGGCGGACAGGCGAGAGGGGAGGGGTGGGGGGGGGGGGGAGGAGAGTCGGCAAGGGGAGGATCTCCTAGGCCCACGTGCCGTGCCGCCAACCAGCAGAATGCGATCGTGCATGCCTGCTGCTGCTGCTGCTGCCACTGCCACTGCTGCTGAGGCAGCTGCTGCTTCCCTGCCTGCTGCTGCTGGGGAGGATATTGGACTGGAAGGGGTGGCGAGGGGCCAACCCAGTCAGGACGCTGCTAGGGGGGGAATGGGGGGCAATGGGTGGGCAATGGGGGTTGACGATCGTACCAGCAAGCAGCAACAGCTCTGTTGACTTGAAGCAGGAAAGTGTCACAAAAGCGCATATATCGTACCAGCAGAGCAAGAGAGCTTTTACACCTAGCTCTGAGACGTCTAAAACTCGTACCAGCAGAACAAGAGAGTCTAGCAGTGCATCCAGCATATACGCCCTTACCTCCCCCTTGCCTCCATATACGCCCGTACTTCCCCCTTACCTCCACCAACGCCCTCACCTCCACGAACGCCTTAATGATTATGCCAGCAGCAGAGCGGTCGAAGACATGGATGGAGGGGGCAGCGAGCCACGAGGCCAACTCCCTACCTCCACAAAAGCTCACAAGATCATCCCACGAGCAGCCCCCCTCACCTCCACAAAGGCGAGCCAGGAGTCGAGCTAGTAAACGGACAGGCAGAATGCTCACACCCCCACAAGGCTTCATTGAACAGGCCACAAGAAGGCCGCTTACCTCCACAACGGCGTTGATGATCATGCCGGCAGCAGAGCGATCGAAGACATGGATGGAGGGGGCGGCAAGCCACGAGTCCAACTCCCTACCTCCACAAAAGCAGACAAGATCATGCCACGAGAAAGCCCCCTTACCTCCACAAACGCCCTTACCTCCACAAAGGCGTTGATGATCATGCCGGCAGCAGAGCAGTCAAAGACATAGATGGAGGGAGTGGCGAGCCACGAGTCAAGCTCGTAGACTGACAGGGGGATGTACTGCGTGTAGGTCTGTGGGGGGGGAGAGCGGAGTTGGAGGGGAAGGATGGAATGCATTCTGAATAGACTTAGAAGCAGCGGGGCAGTTGAAGACATAACATGAGGGAGGGAGAGGCGAGCAGGAGTGAAGAGAGATGCAGGGTGTTTTTGAGAATTATCAAAAACACCCATACCTTGTTAAACACCCATACCTTGTTAAACACCCATACCTTGTTAAACATCCATACCTTGTTAAACACCCATATCTTGTTAAACACCCATATCTTGTTAGTTAAACGCCCATACCTTGTTAAACACCCATACCTTGTTAAACATCCATACCTTGTTAAACAACCATATCTTGTTAAACACCCATATCTTGTTAAACACCCATACCTTGTAAAACACCCATATCTTGTCAAACTACCATACCTTGTTAAACACCCATACCTTGTTAAACACCCCATATCTTGTTAAACGCCCATAACTTGTTAAACACCCATACCTTGTTAAACACCCATACCTTGTTAAACACCCATATCTTGTTAGACACCCATCATACCTTGTTAAACAACCAGATCTCCCCATTGCTAGTGGGCTTGGGCACGCCATGGCCGTTGCAGTGGAAGAAACAGCACCCTCTCCGCCTTGGCGCTCGTTGACATGTAAACAGCCTAATGCATAACGGGGACAGACGACACGCACCTTGTTGAAGACCCAAATCTCCCCATTGCTAGTGGGCTTGGGCACGCCATGGCCGTTGTAGTGGAACAGCACCCTCTCCGCCTTGGCGTTGCGCCGGCACGTGAGGCACAGCTTCTTCACCTCCTCCACTGTGGGGTCCAGCTGCACCTTGTAGCGCGCCTGGGTGACAGAGAGGGAAAGGTGCAAGGAAAAGGAGGAAGACGAAGGGATGTGATGCAGGAAGGACGAGTGAGGCACGGCTTCTTCACCTCCTCCACTGTGGGGTCCAGCTGCACCTTGTAGCGCGCCTGGGTGACAGAGAGGGAAAGGTGCAAGGAAAAGGAGGAAGACGAAGGGATGTGATGCAGGAAGGACGAGTGAGGCACGGCTTCTTCACCTCCTCCACTGTGGGGTCCAGCTGCACCTTGTAGCGCGCCTGGGTGACAGAGAGGGAAAGGTGCAAGGAAAAGGAGGAAGACGAAGGGATGTGATGCAGGAAGGACGAGTGAGGCACGGCTTCTTCACCTCCTCCACTGTGGGGTCCAGCTGCACCTTGTAGCGCGCCTGGGTGACAGAGAGGGAAAGGTGCAAGGAAAAGGAGGAAGACGAAGGGATGTGATGCAGGAAGGACGAGTGAGGCACGGCTTCTTCACCTCCTCCACTGTGGGGTCCAGCTGCACCTTGTAGCGCGCCTGGGTGACAGAGAGGGAAAGGTGAAAGGAAAAGGAGGAAGACGAAGGGATGTGATGCAGGAAGGACGAGTGAGGCACGGCTTCTTCACCTCCTCCACTGTAGGGTCTAGCTGCACCTTGTAGCGCGCCCGAGTGACCTGTAGGACGGAACTGAGGGGAGGGTGGGCAGAAGAAGGCGGGGAAACCCTTATTCCTGAAGGTGATTGTTTAGAATTCTAACAAAAAGCATCCACTACTGTGAGTTGAGCTGGTTTTTAGAATTCTCAAAATCCACTATTGCTGTGACAAGGACGACCAAAAGCATCTGGAAACCACCTCCTCGCCTCCATTTCGTCACCCGCATATCCTCCACGATTACCGAAACCTTGACATCCTTCACACCTTGGTCATACCTGGTTACCATATCCAAGGTTACGCCTGGTTACCGCACCTTGGGATACAGCTGGTTACCACACCTTGGGCTGCCACCGCTCGTATTGCGCCTGCAGGTTCTTCCCAATGGTGTCCAGCGCCTTCTGCGCTTGCATAGAAAACGGATCTGGCGTGTGGTGGACAGGCAAACAACGCAGGGTGGAAGGGTAAAGAACAGGGTGATGCATGATAAGGAGGAGGAGGCGGTGCAGGACACGTGCGGAAGGGGGAAGGGGGACGGGGGACGGGGGACGGGTTGGAGGGGACGCGCGTGAGACGAGGTGACGGAAGGAAGGATGGTTCAACAGGAGTACGGCCAGGCAGTAGAGAGCAACTGACCGATCCAGCACTCGACTCTGGCGCACGGCGAGATCTTGATGACGTCAGGCGGGTCCACTCCGATGTTCAGGCAGAGCACGATGGCCACGCTGCTCGTCTTCATCTGGCGGGAAGGGAGGGAGGGGGAGAACGGGGGTAGGAAAGGGTGGAGGGAGATGAAAGAAGGGGGTAGGAATCGGAGAGGAGATCGATCGTCGGGTGGGGCCACTCCGATGTGGAGACGGAGGCCACTCCGGTGTTGAGCACGATGGCCACGCTGCTGCTCTTTATCTGGGGGGAATCAGAGGGGGGGTGGAGGGAGGGGGGGGGGAAGAGAAAGGCGAGGAGGACAGGGCGGGAACAGGGGGGAAGAGCGATAGTCCAACGACGTCAAGGGGGTTCGGTCCGTGTGTAATGAGTCGATTTTTGAGTCGACTCAAAAATCGACTCATTACACACAGGGGGGAAGAGCGATAGTCCAACGACGTCAGGGGGGTTCGGTCCGATGTTGAGGCGGAGCACGATGGCCACGCTGCTGGACTTCATCTCTTCAAATGCACGGAAGGGGAGCGGGAGTGGGAAGGGAGGGGGGGGGGGGGGTTTGAGGAGGGAATGGGGAAAGAGGTAGGGGGGAAGAGGGAGGCAAAGGCGAAAGGAAGGAGATGCCAACGGGAGGGGAGATGCTGATAGCTAGTCGTATGTGCTGCCCCAGAAAGCCCATCCTCCATAAAAGCTGACCACGAAAACGATTATGCATTGCAGGACACTGTACCGTGGCTGATATCTACACCACTGCTAATCAGTCAATCGCGGATACACTGAGAGCGTTGCATTGCGCTAAAAGCAACGGCTACTGGATCATCTCAAGAAACTGGCAGACTACTAAGAAGTCTCTTCCTTGTAACGGGTAACCATGTTTCGCCGGTGAGAGCTAACGTCAATCGGCAGCAGCGGACCTAGCTCCCAGCTACAAGAGACGAGCTCGCCGCACAAAAAACCGGCTTACCGCCTAGAGCAGCAGCTCAAAAGCACAATTAAGGAACTTAAGCGTTAATATCCTAGGATCACAACGGTTTAAGCCAAGGCGATCGGCCACACTGTAGATCATACCCGGTCCTTCATCCTCCACTTAGAAACCAGTCCCGATTCCCCCGCCACCACTGATCCATCCTTGGCCTTTTCCGGATCGTGTCTCAGGTCGTTCAGGTACACTATGTGCGGGAACAGATCGTCATAGCTTATTTCGAACCTAAACGGATCGCCAGCAGCTGAGCCGCGATCCATGGCGTCAGGAGTCTCTGATCGTTTCGCAGTGCTCACATGGCGAGAAACTAAGCTACCGTAGGGTGTTCCAAAAAAGATCTGGTGACTAGAGTGACGTGATTGTGCCACTAGTGAGGGGAGAGACACAAACGATTTTAGGGTTTCCCGTTCAGGTGGTGCCGCTGGCAGGCTAGGCTTTCAGGGCGCGTCCTAGGCGCAAAAAAACTGGTTACTGGTTTCTGGTGCAGCTCGGTTGGGCACATTTAGGTGGTGGTGTGAGCGCTTTAGAAGTCTTCAGTGCGATAGATTTTTCAAAGTTGGCATTCAGGACGCGCCCTCAGGCACCAGGGCACACCGCATCACATCACTCTTTGCTGTGTCCCTGACTCAAGTCACTCCGACCACGTGGATGGCGGTGGTCGCGCGCGGAGCAGGCGGGGGAGTTTCCCCAACCCACACAACCTCCCTCGAGCTTTTCCCATACATGCGCGGTTCTGCTACCTGACTGGCTGCCCCTTGGGAACACCGCGCCTAGCTGCGGCTCTGCTCCGCGATGGCTGATCAAACGAATCAGCGGACGACACTCAGATTTTGCCGCGGAAAATGACGGCGCGTGGGCTTTGCCTGGTCGCTTCGCCGCAAGCCCCACATCACCCTGCACATGAGGAGAAAACTCCTCGTGTGCGAGTTTCTCGAATGTCGCGCTGATTTCGTTAGCCATGGTGGCGAGAAATTCGTGAACTTTTCCTGGCCGCAAACGTATGTGATTGGTCCAGAACAATTGTTCAGCAGCCACGTCACTCCAGCTGCCCTTTTTTCGCTGTTGCGATGGCGGTAAAAATCATAGTGATAACTATATGTAGGGCGTAGTACACACCCCATGAGCACGTTTACTTCTAAATATTCCAGTTATTAGTTGGGTACATTCAACGTGAAACATAGTAGTAGATCGATTTTTCGCAAGCAGTCTCGCAAAAATACATAAATTAAATATATTTACTGCGCATTTTTGACAACGTAATCTACAGAAATTGTTTCCGCAAAAGGAGACGTTGGAAACCTAGAAGTGTCGTAAAGAGAGAGAACTATACCACAAAGGATAGACGTAGCTAAAGCTTAGTACACTCCACCCCATCCCAACTCCGCAGCCGCCCCGCTCCCCCCACCCCCACCCCCCATCCCACATCCCCCATGCACCTTGAGAATTCATATAAAGTATAGGAAATGTATTTTCCAACTAATGGTTTCCTTTGTGAACTTATGTTATGACATCGCAACGCACGTACGCGCTTTGGGATTGCCGACACCACAAAACCGTGGCAGTGACACCCTTCATTTTCTGAAATAGAACCGACAAATGCACGGGATATGTTACCTTCAACGTTCTTAAAAGCCGTTTCCTTCTCATTCCGTGGAGTGAAAAGAGAGGGTCGAGAAAGTGGTCAGTGAAGTAGAGAGTCTCACCGCTTTCATGACGTTCACTTTTGGACTCGAATGTCAGAGCGCGCGGCAATAGCTGGACTCAATTCTGTTTCGCACAATGAGTTTCTAGTACATATTGTCCCGACCATTTTGTGACAAAGGTGTTCCCTCCCTACCCCCGAAGTTCCCCCGAGTTCCTCAAGGTTCGACCAACATTCATGCAATCCCCATCCCCTCTCCCGCGCCTTCCCCCCTTCGTCGTTGCGCTTCGCTTCATGATGTGACCGTTGTCTCGATTCAATTGATCTGCCTCCAATCCTGCTCTCAAGCTTTCAGCAGTCCAAGAGAATTCCACACATTGCTGCTTGTCAGTTGCGCTTCATCTAGTCTGCTTACTGGTATCTTTCTACATCAGCTGCAGCTTGGTTTTTCAGGAACAGTAGCGAGCGAGACCCGTAGCCTGGAGGAATCGACACGAAACCCAAAGGACCACACCATTTTGCGGTAAAACGGAGGAGACATGACGTCACTTCACACGCCATTCCGCAATTTCCGCTGCAGCAGAACCTCGTGCCAAAACGAGACCTGCTGCTGAGGGAGGTCTGCAAGTGATCCGGCCGGTTACTGTACCCTTAGTCGTTTGACAGCCGACTCCCTTATCGAGCTGCGTGCGATAGGCTGGTTGATATATAAGACCGTCGTCAGATCGCAGAGCGTCGCCAGGTGTGGTTGTGCGACTCTCGGGCCAACCACACAGGAAAGGCCCTTTTTCGTTGGTGTCCTGTCCTCCTCTCCTCGCACCTCCGCCTTATCTGTGTCCGTGTCTGCACACACGTGTGTCTCTATCGCGTGCTCGTCTGGGGTACTAAGAAAATACCAACCAAGAAACGACTTCGTTCATATGGACGACGGGTCCAGTCCAGGGCGTCTGACCTGCGAGGGCAGGCCTCACTAGGTTGCATTCAAACAGCTTCTAGAAGGTATTGCTGACGTCAGCGAGATTGCTTCGCCCTATCGCATAGCAAGGCCAGAATAAGAAGCAGCCGTGGCTGTTTGCGAGCCTTTGCGAGCTTCAAGGAGCTCAAGTAGGCGAGACAAATAGACCAAATAGGCCGTGACGAACAAGACGTGACGAACTGGACGTGGCAATGAAGGGGCCCATGTCGCCGCTCACTCTGCGCGCGACGGAGCTGGAGGACCGGCCGCCGGAGTGGATGTCGCTCATCGCGCCGTCATCCTCGGCGGGCCCTGCGCCGCCCCTCCCGTCGTCGTCTTCCAGCAGCAATGGCGCGGCTGCAGCTGGCTTGAAGCCCCGGTGAGCAGTGAACGAACAGGAGCAGGCTCAAAGCCCCGATAGGTGATGCTCATATTCCAGCCTGTTAGCCGTCTCCGTCGCAGACCTACTCCGTCCGTCCCGTCTCCTTCATCCCTCTCGCCATTCCCGGTGCCCAGCCGGGTCCTAGTTCTGCCATATCGCGTCACTTCAATACATGTGCGTGCGCATGTGCGTTCGCGTACGCGTGCTCCTTAGTGCCAGCCTTGTGCAAGTGCTGCCAGTGCAAGTACTTCTACGACGGCTCTCAAACCCACCCTATTCCTCCTCGTCTCCCCTCTCCTCCCCTCCGTCCCAATCCCATCCCAGCCGCGTGCGCGTGCTACCGGTGTCACACCTCCGGCCTTACGTCCTCACCTTCTCGTGTCCTCTCGTGAACCTTGTCGCCCTTCCCCCTCTTTCCATCTGTATTTTGAGTCGACTCAAAATATGGGTCCATTGGGAGCCCGGGGATTCCTCGGATCCAAGTGCTCCGGCCTTACGTCCTCAGCTTCTCGTGTCCTCTCGTGAACCTTGTCCCCCTTCCCCCTCTTTTCCATCCCAGCCGCGTGCGCGTGCTGCCAGTGTCGCACCCGTCGCACTCCGACATCTACAACAACTCCCCCGGGGGAGCCCGGGGATTCCTCGGATCCAACTGCTGGCTCGCGTTCTGGCGCGTAGTGCACTACCTGTTTCCGTGCACCAAGTGGATGGCGGCTTATAGCCTGCGGAACGACCTCGTGGCGGACCTTGTAGCGGGGATAAGCGTGGGCGTGATGCTCGTGCCTCAGGTACTACAGAGGTGCTTGTGGGGTTTAGAGGCACCGCAAACACCTTATAGAGGGGATAAGCGTGGGCGTGATGCTCGTGCCTCAGGTACTACAGAGGTGCTTGTGGGGTTTAGAGGCACCGCTAACACCTTATAGCGGGGATAAGCGTGGGCGTGATGCTCGTGCCTCTGATACTAGAGAGCTGCTTGTGGAGTTTAGAGGCGCTGCTAACACCTTATAGCGGGGATAAGCGTGGGCGTGATGCTCGTGCCCAGGTACTGGAGAGATGCGGGGTTGTGGAGTTTTGAGTCGGCTCAAAAAACCTTGTAGCGGGGATACGCATTCGATAACCATAAGATGGTTGGTTGTTCATGGTTGATTGGGGGGGCCGCGGGGCTCAGTGAATCTCACATGCCCCATTTTTGAGGCGCCTCAAAAGTGAATCTCACATGCCCCATCCTTCAACAGCCCGTTTAAGGTTTCCCTTGGCGCATCTTTCATTAAACAACCCGTCTTCAACCCCCTCTCGCCCATTCCCCCTCTCTCCCCATCTTTACCCAACCCCCCCCCCCCACCCCGCCTTCCCTCCCCCCTTCCTTCCCCCTACTCCCCTCTCCCGACACCCCCCTTTCCCCTCCCTTCCTCCTCCACCCCCCTTCCTGGCCCTCCCCTTCCTCCCGAGCAGTCAATGTCGTATGCCAAGCTCGCTGGTCTGCCCCCCATATACGGCCTATGTAAGCATGCAATGTCTGTGGCAAGTGCCGGCCCTAGCTAGAGCTGTGCCTAGCACTTAGACCTGTTGTCTGTCCTTAGTTACTGCCGCCCGGAGTGCTGCCCTTGGTAGGCTTTAGTGGTTGAATCTGATGGTGATCCTCCAGGTGGTGCCTGCCATGTCAGCACCATGTCCTGTGATGCCATGTCATCGCTTCTGCTCCGAAGAACCCCCTTTTCCTCTTCCTTGCTTGAGGATCGGTCGAGCGCATATTAGCTCCAAGTAGTGCCCATCCAAGTAGCTTGCTTATCGTGTACATTCTCTCCCCATCCTCTTCCCCACCCCACCTTTTCAGACCCCATCCCCCATCCCCCATCCTCCATTCGCCCCTCCCCCAAAATCTTCCTCCCACCCCTCTTTTCAGACTCGGCGTTTGTCCCCATCCTGAGCTACGTGGTCTTCGGCTCGTCCCGCCAGCTGGCAGTGGGTCCGGTGGCGATCGTGTCCATCCTCACGTTCGACGGGCTCAGGAAGGTTGTAGCGGAGAAGCTCCGAGACTCGGCTATAGCGGCGGGCCTGGCTGGAGGGGGGTACGGCCCCACGGCTGTAGCAGGGGGCGTGGCGGGAGGGATAGAGCTTCCAGCTAATGCAGGCCTGAGTGGGTTCCAACCGTCTCGGTCCCTGCTGGACTTCCGAAGCTCTGTTAGCAGCAGTAGTGTCAGCAGTGGTGGTGGTAGCATCAGTGGTGGCAGTGGCAGCGGCAGCAGCAGCGTTCCGTTTCCGTTCCCTGTGACTACTGCAGCCAGGCAGTTAAGCAGCATGGGGTGGGGGCTCACTGCCGCAGAACTGACAGGAGGAGGAGGAGGAGGAGGAGGGGGGGGGTGGGAGGGCGGTAGGGGCGGTGGATGTGAGTATGGAGGAGTTGGCGGTGCTGCTGGCGCTGATGGTGGGGCTGCTGGAAGTGCTCATGGGCCTGCTCAGGTGTGTTTGTTCACATGGGCCTGGTCAGGTGTGTTTGTTCACATGGGCCTGCTCAGGTGTGTTTGTTCACATGGGCCTGGTCAGGTGTGTTTGTTCACATGGGCCTGCTCAGGTGTGTTTGTTCACATGGGCCTGCTCAGGTGTGTTTGTTCACATGGGCCTGCTCAGGTGTGTTTGTTCACATGGGCCTCCTCAGGTGTGTTTGTTCACATGGGCCTGCTCAGGTGTGTTTATTCACATGGGCCTGCTCAGGTGTGTTTGTTCACATGGGCCTTCTCAGGTGTGTTTGTTCACATCGGCCTGCTCAGGTGTGTTTGTTCACATGGGCCTGCTCAGGTTTCTGTGTTATCAGGGAGGGGCCTTCTCAGGTGAGTATGCTCATGGGCTGCTCAGGTGTGTGCTCTCATGGGCCTGCTCAGGTGTCTTCGCTCTCAGGGGTCTCCTCAGGTCTGTTCTGTTTTCCAGGGGTTTTCCAGGGGTTTTCCAGATACCTTCTGTTTCGTTCGCATGGGTTTGTTCAGGAACGGTTTCAAGAGATTGCTTCCACGTGGCTTTTCCTGACTGGTGGAGCTCAGGCCACTCGTCCCTGCCCTTCCCTTCTGATGCGCCCTTTTCTCCCCCTCCCACTCTCCCGCTCCCGCTCCCCCTCCCTGTCTCAATTCTCTTCTCCAGAATGGGTTGGCTTGTGCGCTTTCTCTCTCACAGCGTGGTATCCGGATTCACCTCGGGGGCGGCTCTCTTGGTGTGCGTCTCCGTGGCAAAGGACATTCTCGGCTTCTCCATGCCGGGTGGGTGGGTGGGTGAGACCGTGAGACTACACGGGTGGGAGCCTGGGAGGGTCATGGTGGGTGCATCCAGCCTTTTCACCTCGGGGGCGGCTCTCCTGGTGTGCGTCTACGTGACAAAGGTCATTCTCAGCTTCTCCATGCCGGGTGGGTATAAGTGGGTTGAGGGTAAGTAAGTAAGTGAGTATAATTAGATGTGAAAGCAGGGCCTGCTGCTGCTGCCACTGGGGGTGGGTGGGGGACAGCAGCTCACGTTTTGAGCCCCACTTTGCCCCATTTTTCTCCTGAACTTCTCCCTCCTCTCTTACTTCCTGCCGCCCACCAGGCTAAACGACCTTTGTGGCGGCCCTGTCGCACATAATCCAGCAGATTGTGGCGGGGCGGGCCGCACTGGGAACCCATGGCGCTGGGAGGGGCGCGCTGCTGCTGCTGCTGCTGCTGCTGCTGATGAAGAAGGCGGGCAAGACCTGGAAGTCAGTCCAGTCTCTGCCCTGCAGGGGCTGTTAGCCGCCTCAACCCACCACTCCCTCCCCTGCTTAACTCCCGCCCTTCCTGCCCTCTGGATCTTCCCGCACCCGTTGCATGTCTACGCCAGGCCAAACCACGTTTGTGGCAGCACTCTCGCACATAATCAAGCAGATTGTGGCGGGGCGGGCGCACTGGCAGCCCATGGCGCTGGGAGGGGGCGCGCTGCTGCTGCTGCTGCTGATGAAGGAGGCCGGCAAGAGCTGGAAGTCGCTGCAGGCGCTGCGGTGTGCGGGGCCCTTCACCAGCATTGTCATCGGAGCACTGGTGGTCAAGTGGTGGCGGCCTGAACACGTTCCAGTGGTGAGTTGGGCGGGGTTTAGGAAGGTTTAAGGTTGGTTTTCCTACTCCTGCTGCTGCTGCTGCTGATGAAGGAGGCCGGCAAGAGCTGGAAGTCACTGCAGGCGCTGCGGTGTGCGGGGCCCTTCACCAGCATTGTCATCGGAGCACTGGTCGTTAAGTGGTGGCGGCCTGAACACGTTCCAGTGGTGAGTTGGGTGGGGTTTAGGAAGGTTTAAGGTTGGTTTTCCTACTCCTGCTGCTGCTGCTGCTGCTGATGATGATGATGAAGGAGGCCGGCAAGAGCTGGAAGTCGCTGCAGGCGCTGTGGTGTGCAGGTCCCTTCACCAGCATTGTCATCGGAGCGCTGGTCGTCAAGTGGTGGCGGCCTGAACACGTGCCTGTGGTGGTTTGCCAGTGTGGGAGGGGTGGGACAGCGACAGGGGGATTGTAAATGGTGCAAGCCTCTCCAGTCCCTGCAGGCGCTGAGGTGCGCGGGGCCGTTCCCTGGGAGTACCTGCCCAAGCTGCTGCCCTCAGCGCTCGTCGCTTCCCCCTCTCATCCCCCTGTCCCGCTCCTTTCCCTCTCAAGATGGGCGAGATCCCCCAGGGCCTCCCCTCCTTCTCTACCGCCTTCCCCTGGGAGTACCTCCCGAAGCTGCTGCCCACAGCGCTGGTCATCACCGGCGTGGCCATCCTTCCATCCCTTTCCTCTCCTTCTCCCCATTATAGGTAGGCGAGATCCCCCAGGGTCTACCGACTGTCAACCGCCTTCCCCTGGGAGTACCTCCCCAAGCTGCTGCCTGCAGCGCTGGTCATCACCGCCCCTCTCCCCTCTCCCTCTCTCCCATACCTTTGATCCTCTTTTGAGGCGCCTCAAAACTAGACTCTTTTGAGGCGCCTCAAAACTGTCATCACCGCCCCTCTCCCTCTCTCCCATACCTTTGATCCTCTTCCCATCATCAAGTGGGCGAGGTCCCCCAGGGTCTCCCTTCCCTCTCCACCGCCTTCCCATGGAGTACCTGCCCAAGCTGCTCCCCACAGCGCTCCTCTCTTCTCCATCTTTTTTCAACGTCCCCCCCCTTTCCTGCCTGGTAGATGGGTGAGATTCCCCAGAGACTACCGTCTCTGTCAACATCCTTCCCCTGGGAGTACCTGCCCAAGCTGCTGCCCACAGCGCTGGTCGTCACCAGCGTCACCATCCTCGAGTCGTGCGGCATCGCCTTTTTTTGGCAGCCAGGAACGGCTATGCCATCCACCCCCCCTCCTTCTCCCACCTCACCCTCCCCTTTCCCTTCTGCTCTCTCAATCCCTGCGCTCCCTGGTTTGCTCCTCCTTTCTTCACCAGGTGGGCGAAATCCCCCAGGGTTTGCCCTCCCTCTCCACGGCCTTCCCCTGGGAGTACCTGCCCAAGCTGCTGCCCACAGCGCTGGTCATCACCGGCGTGGCCATCCTCGAGTCGTGCGGCATCGCCAAGGCGCTGGCTGCCAGGAATGGCTATGCCATCGATGCGAACCAGGAGCTGTTTGGACTGGGCATGGCGAACGTGCTGGGGTCCTTCTTCTCCTCCTTCCCCACCACTGGTGAGTGCCACCTTTCTAAGTGAGGGTCCCAGAACAGCCTTCCATCCTCGAGTCGTGCGGCATCGCCAAGGCGCTGGCTGCCAGGAATGGCTATGCTATTGATGCGAACCAGGAGCTGTTTTAACTTGGCATGGCGAGCGTGCTGGGGTCCTTCTTCTCGTCCTTCCCCACCCCACCACTGGTGAGCAATGGTTGGGTGCTCGTTGAACCTGGGGTTGATTTGAAAGTGCTGGGTTCCTTCTAAATGGTGTTCATGGTCGTTCTCCTTTGTCTTACCCTTCACGCCCGGCCCCCACCCCTCTTCTGTGCAGGTTCCTTCTCCCGCTCGGCAGTGATCCACGAGGTGGGCGTGCGCACGGCCCTGAGTGGGCTCATCATGGCACTCATGGTCGTTGCCCATCCCCTCTTCTCTGTGCCTTTCCCTCCCTGGTTTCCTGCTCTGTCGCCCCCTCAGGCTCTTTCTCTCGCTCGGCAGTGAACAACGAGGTGGGCGCGCGCACGGCTATGAGTGGGCTCATCATGGCGCTCATGGTCGTTGCCACGCTGCTCTTCCTCACACCGGCTTTTCGAGACGTGCCCCAGGTATGCATTTTGAGACGTCTCAAAACCAACCTTATATCACGTGCCCCAGGTATGTATTTTGAGACGTCTCAAAAACAACCTTATATCATGTGCCCAAGGACCCAGGTATGTATGGCGGTGCTTTAAGACTCAGCTCAAAGCCTCATGGTCGTTGCCACGCTGCTCTTTCTCACACCGGCATTTAGAGACGTGACCCAGGTATGTATGGCGGCTTCATGAGATGTACCCCAGCCCGAGGTGTGCTGGATGGCTTTAAGAGGCGTGCTGCTCAAGGTATGTACAGGTGTCTTTAGAGTCAGCTTAAAGCCTCATGGTTGGGAACTGATGTTCCTGTGGCGGGTGGATGCCAGTGTGTGATGAGTCGTCACGTTTCGCCCTCTCCTATCCCCCCTGACCCAGTGCGTGCTAGCAGCAGTTTGGTGAACGCAATGCACAAGTTAGACGACCTTTAAGAACTGCTGTTCCTGTGGTGGGTGGATGCAAGTGTGTGATGAGTCGTCTTGATTACTTCACCGTTCGCCCACCTCCCTCCCTCCCCCCCCACTCTCCCTGACCCAGTGCGTGCTGGCAGCCGTGGTGGTGAACGCCGTGCACAGGCTAGTCGACCTTCAAGAGCCGCTGTTCCTGTGGCAGGTGAATGCGAGTGATTCCCATATTTTTACCTCCCCCACCCCCTCTCTGACCCAGTGCGTGCTGGCAGCCGTGGTGGTGAATGCCGTGCACGGGCTGGTCGACCTTCAAGAGCCACTGTTCCTGTGGCGGGTGAATGCGAGTGAGATTCCCATCATTTTACCTCCCCCACCCCCCCTCCCTGACCCAGTGCGTGCTGGCAGCAGTGGTGGTGAACGCTGTGCATGGGCTGGTCGACCTTCAAGAGCCGCTGTTCCTGTGGCGAGTGGAGAAAAAGGATCTTGTCTTGTGGCTCTGCGCCTTCCTTGGCACGCTGCTGCTGGGCCTGGAGACTGGTGTTCTCATCTCGGTAAGTTGGGGGGTGAAAGGAGGCACGAGACAAGAGCCGCTGTTCCTGTGGCAGGTGGAGAAGAAGAAGGATCTCGTCTTGTGGCTCTGCGCCTTCCTTGGCACGCTGCTGCTGGGCCTGGAGACTGGTGTTCTCATCTCGGTAAGTTGGGGGGTGAGAGGAGGCACGAGACAAGAGCCGCTGTTCCTGTGGCAGGTGGAGAAGAAGAAGGATCTCGTCTTGTGGCTCTGCACCTTCCTTGGCACGCTGCTGCTGGGCCTGGAGACTGGTGTTCTCATCTCGGTAAATTGGGGGGTGAGAGGAAGCACGAGACAAGAGCCGCTGTTCCTGTGGCAGGTGGAGAAGAAGAAGGATCCCGTCTTGTGGCTCTGCGCCTTCCTTGGCACGCTGCTGCTGGGCCTGGAGACAGGCGTGCTCATCTCGTTATGTGGTATGGTGGAAAGGACTCCAGCGGGGGGGAAAGGGGTATGAGACAGGAGCCTGGAGAAGAAAGATCTCATTTTGTGACTCGGTTCCTTTCTTGGCATTCTGCTGCTCGGCCTGGAGACTGGTGTACTCATCTCGGTGTGTAAGTGGAGGGGGTTGGGGGTGGGAGGCGGGCTGGAAGGGGACGAGTGAGGGCTGTTTTTGAGAATTCTCAAAAACACCCTGCAAAATCAAGGGGACGAGGGGACGAGTGAGGGGTGGTGCTATCTTCCTATGGCGGGTGGAGAAAAGAGAATGAGAGGTCGACGGGCGGCAGGAGCTCACAACTTCTGTCTTGTCAGTCGGACCTCTCCCCCCCTTCATTTGTTGATGCACACAATTCACAAAAACACACGTGTGTGCACGTATGGGCCCAACGTGCCTCTTATCCTTGTCCCTCGCCCTCCCCACCCCCCTCGTCCTCCTCGTCTCAGGTGGCACTCTCTCTCGTCTTTGTTATTCACGAGTCTGCCAATCCTCACATGGGTAAGCTAGTCTGCCCACCTCAGTCTTACATTAGGGTACTCCCTGCACACGCCCTGCACACGCCCTATACACGCCCTGCACCCGCCCTGCACACGCCCTGCACACGCCCTACACACGCTCTGCGCACGCCCTGCGCACGCTCTGCGCACACCCTGCGCACGCTCTGCGCACGCCCTGCATTTCCGAGTCTTCGAATCCCCACATGGCATAGCTGTATTCTTCACTTCCTCCTCCTCCTGCTTTACCCGCAACGTGAAGAATACAGTGTTAGGTAAAGCAGTGGGTAAAGCAGTGGTAGCTGCCTACCTGGTAGGCGCTGGTGCACCACTGCCTACCGCAACGTGACGCAATATACGGCGACGCGTACTCCTTTGCTGATGCGTTTCGAGACGTCTCATGCCCTAAACCCTATGCTGATGCCCCCAATCCCCCTCCACTCATCCCTCTCCCACCCTCCTGCTCCACTCTCTCTCCCCCACTGCAGCTGTCCTGGGTCGGCTCCCAGGCACGACAGTATATCGCAACGTGAAGCAGTACCGCGACGCGTACACGTACAGGGGCGTGGTCATCCTGCGCATCGACGCCCCCATCTACTTTGCCAATGTCGACTACATCAAAGAGAGGTGCGTTTTCCACTTAGAATGCATGGGTTCTTGCCTGTTAACATGGCCCTTTTGGTCATCCTGCGTATTGTCGCCCCATCTACTTTGCCAATGTCGACTACATCAAAGAGAGGTACGCTGTAAGGAAAGATGTGCTTTCGATCGCAACACGGATGGGCTCTGAACCTGCTACCAGGGGCGTGGTCATTCTGCGAATTGACGCCCCCATCTACTTTGCCAATGTCGATTACATCATAGAGAGGTGCGGTAGAGCACCTCACGGGGTTGACTCCGCAAACACGCGTACTGCAGGCGTGATCATTATGCGCTGTTTGTTGAATCATGCACGGCTGCTGAGTTGTTGAATCCTGCACGTCTGCTAAGTTGTTGAATCATGCACCTTACATTCCTTGAACGCAAGTTGCTGCAGAGGGTGGCGTGATGGAGGGGGACGGCAGCAGAGTATGTAATGGATGTGAGGCATGTATGGGATCCCCGTCGCTCACCGTATCTACCCCCCCCCTCCCCACAACTCTCCCCTCTTCCCCCCCCCCCTCACAACAGCTGTGCAAGTACGAGCTGCAGAGGGTGGCGTGGTGGAAGGGCGGCAGCAAAGACTGCTTGACATGTCAATGCGCCTTACTTCGCTACTCTCCCCACATTTCCCCCCCACTCTCCCCCACTCTCCCCCCATCTCCCCCCACTCTCCCCCACTCTCCCCCCATCTCCCCCCCTACTCTCCCCCCATCTCCAACCCACTCTTCTCCACTCTCCCCCCATTCCCCCCCCACTCTCCCCCACTCTCCCCTCCACTGCAGGCTGCGCAAGTACGAGCTGCAGAGGGTGGCGTGGTGGAAGGACGGCAGCAGTGGCAGCAGCGGAGGCCGGCTGGCGAGCAGCGGCAGCAGCGCGGGGGCCAACGGACTGGCTGTGATGGACCTGCGTTTCCTCATCCTCGAGATGTCCCGTGAGTGCTGCTGCTCGCTCCTCTCTTCCTCCCCTTCTAAGGGCTCGGAGTCGATCAGCATTCATAGCAAGCAGCAGCGTGGGGGCCAATGGACTGGCTGTGATGGACCTGCGCTTCCTCATCCTTGAGATGTCCCTTGAGCGCTGCTACTCCTCTCTTCCTCCACTTCCAAGGGTTCTGAATTGACTCAGCAATGATAGGCAGCAGCGTGGAGGCCAATGGAATGGTTGTCGTGGACCTGCACTTCCTCATCCTTGAGATGTCCCGTGAGTGCTGCTACTCCTCTCTTCCTCCACTTCCAAGGGTTCTGAATTGACTCAGCAATGATAGGCAGCAGCGTGGGGGCCAATGGAATGGTTGTCGTGGACCTGCGCTTCCTCATCCTTGAGATGTCCCGTGAGTGCTGCTACTCCTCTCTTCCTCCAATTCCAAGGGTTCTGAATTGACTCAGCAATGATAGGCAGCAGCGTGGGGGCCAATGGAATGCTTGCTCTGGGTGCTTGCGAGCTTGCTCTAGGTGCTTGCGAGCTTGCTCTGGGTGCTTGCGAGCTTGCTTCTTGTGAGAAGCCATGGACCTCTCGCAATCTCGCAAGCACCTAGAGCAAGCTTGCCAGCACCTAGAGAAAGCTCCCTTGTCTTCTCTCCCTCCTTCCCTCAAACCCCCCCTCCCCCCCCTTCCCCTCCCCACTGGCAGCTGTTACCTACATTGACTCCACGGCTGTGCACGCTCTCAAAGAGCTCTATAACGAGTACAAGGCGCGCGACATCCAGCTGTGCTTCTCCAACCCGTCGCCCAAAGTGATGCTCACTATGGCACGTGCCGGCTTTCCAGATCTCATCGGCCGCCAGTGGTACTTCGTCAGAATACACGACGCCGTTCAGGTGAGCCTCGGGGGGGGAGTACAGCAGGTCGTTTTTGAGGTGCCTCAAAAACTGAATACATGATGCCGTTCCGGTGAGCCTCGGGGAGGCACAGCGGGTTGTTTATTCATGCTACGCACACCATACGCGCATGCTCACCATGGCCCGTACCATACGCGCATGCTCACCATGGCCCGTACCATACGCGCATGCTCACCATGGCCCGTACCATACGCGCATGCTCACCATGGCCTGTACCATACACGCATGCTCACCATGGCCTGTACCATACACGCATGCTCACCATGGCCCGTACCATACGCGCATGCTCACCATGGCCCGTACCATACACGCATGCTCACCATGGCCCGTACCATACGCGCATGCTCACCATGGCCCGTACCATACGCGCATGCTCACCATGGCCTGTACCATACACGCATGCTCACCATGGCCCGTACCATACGCGCATGCTCACCATGGCCCGTACCATACGCGCATGCTCACCATGGCCTGTACCATACACGCATGCTCACCATGGCCCGTACCATACGCGCATGCTCACCATGGCCTGTACCATACACGCATGCTCACCATGGCCCGTACCATACGCGCATGCTCACCATGGCCCGTACCATACGCGCATGCTCACCATGGCCTGTACCATACACGCATGCTCACCATGGCCCGTACCATACGCGCATGCTCACCATGGCCTGTACCATACGCGCATGCTCACCATGGCCCGTACCATACGCGCATGCTCACCATGGCCCGTACCATACGCGCATGCTCACCATGGCCTGAACCATACACGCATGCTCACCATGGCCCGTACCATACGCGCATGCTCACCATGGCCTGTACCATACACGCATGCTCACCATGGCCCGTACCATACGCGCATGCTCACCATGGCCCGTACCATACGCGCATGCTCACCATGGCCTGTACCATACACGCATGCTCACCATGGCCCGTACCATACGCGCATGCTCACCATGGCCTGTACCATACACGCATGCTCACCATGGCCCGTACCATACGCGCATGCTCACCATGGCCTGTACCATACACGCATGCTCACCATGGCCCGTACCATACGCGCATGCTCACCATGGCCTGTACCATACACGCATGCTCACCATGGCCCGTACCATACGCGCATGCTCACCATGGCCTGTACCATACACGCATGCTCACCATGGCCCGTACCATACGCGCATGCTCACCATGGCCCGTACCATACGCGTATGCTCACCATGGCCTGTACCATACACGCATGCTCACCATGGCCCGTACCATACGCGCATGCTCACCATGGCCTGTACCATACACGCATGCTCACCATGGCCCGTACCATACGCGCATGCTCACCATGGCCCGTACCATACGCGCATGCTCACCATGGCCTGTACCATACACGCATGCTCACCATGGCCCGTACCATACGCGCATGCTCACCATGGCCTGTACCATACACGCATGCTCACCATGGCCCGTACCATACGCGCATGCTCACCATGGCCCGTACCATACGCGCATGCTCACCATGGCCTGTACCATACACGCATGCTCACCATGGCCCGTACCATACGCGCATGCTCACCATGGCCTGTACCATACGCGCATGCTCACCATGGCCCGTACCATACGCGCATGCTCACCATGGCCCGTACCATACGCGCATGCTCACCATGGCCTGAACCATACACGCATGCTCACCATGGCCCGTACCATACGCGCATGCTCACCATGGCCTGTACCATACACGCATGCTCACCATGGCCCGTACCATACGCGCATGCTCACCATGGCCCGTACCATACGCGCATGCTCACCATGGCCTGTACCATACACGCATGCTCACCATGGCCTGTACCATACACGCATGCTCACCATGGCCCGTACCATACGCGCATGCTCACCATGGCCCGTACCATACACGCATGCTCACCATGGCCCGTACCATACGCGCATGCTCACCATGGCCCGTACCATACGCGCATGCTCACCATGGCCTGTACCATACACGCATGCTCACCACGGCCCGTACCATACGCGCATGCTCACCATGGCCCGTACCATACGCGCATGCTCACCATGGCCTGTACCATACACGCATGCTCACCATGGCCCGTACCATACGCGCATGCTCACCATGGCCTGTACCATACACGCATGCTCACCATGGCCCGTACCATACGCGCATGCTCACCATGGCCCGTACCATACGCGCATGCTCACCATGGCCTGTACCATACACGCATGCTCACCATGGCCCGTACCATACGCGCATGCTCACCATGGCCTGTACCATACGCGCATGCTCACCATGGCCCGTACCATACGCGCATGCTCACCATGGCCCGTACCATACGCGCATGCTCACCATGGCCTGAACCATACACGCATGCTCACCATGGCCCGTACCATACGCGCATGCTCACCATGGCCTGTACCATACACGCATGCTCACCATGGCCCGTACCATACGCGCATGCTCACCATGGCCCGTACCATACGCGCATGCTCACCATGGCCTGTACCATACACGCATGCTCACCATGGCCCGTACCATACGCGCATGCTCACCATGGCCTGTACCATACACGCATGCTCACCATGGCCCGTACCATACGCGCATGCTCACCATGGCCTGTACCATACACGCATGCTCACCATGGCCCGTACCATACGCGCATGCTCACCATGGCCTGTACCATACACGCATGCTCACCATGGCCCGTACCATACGCGCATGCTCACCATGGCCTGTACCATACACGCATGCTCACCATGGCCCGTACCATACGCGCATGCTCACCATGGCCCGTACCATACGCGTATGCTCACCATGGCCTGTACCATACACGCATGCTCACCATGGCCCGTACCATACGCGCATGCTCACCATGGCCTGTACCATACACGCATGCTCACCATGGCCCGTACCATACGCGCATGCTCACCATGGCCCGTACCATACGCGCATGCTCACCATGGCCTGTACCATACACGCATGCTCACCATGGCCCGTACCATACGCGCATGCTCACCATGGCCTGTACCATACACGCATGCTCACCATGGCCCGTACCATACGCGCATGCTCACCATGGCCCGTACCATACGCGCATGCTCACCATGGCCTGTACCATACACGCATGCTCACCATGGCCCGTACCATACGCGCATGCTCACCATGGCCTGTACCATACACGCATGCTCACCATGGCCCGTACCATACGCGCATGCTCACCATGGCCTGTACCATACGCGCATGCTCACCATGGCCTGTACCGTACGCGCGCACCGTACCGGCTTCCCGGGGGCTGTATTTGTAAGTCACCTTAATGATTGATTGGCTTCGCGGATTTGACCAGCCTCCAGTGTAACTCGTGCGAATACATGAGGGTGTTCAGGTGAGGGTGGTGTGCTTGCAAGGAGGAGAGGAGGAGAGTGAGGATGAGGATATTGGTATATGGCTCGATATGGTGTGTATAGTGTCTCAGAAGGGAGCGTTTCCAACCCCGTGCCGAGGTCCTGGAAAATCTCATCAGCCTCCATGGGTTGCCAACCTAGCTTTGGATCATCTGAGGTCCTGGAACTTGAGGTCCTGGATCATCTCATCAGCCTCCATGGGTTGCCAACCACGGCTGCCTTGGACTTAACATGAAGATTCATGCTGCTATGCAGGTGCTGTTGTTTGCACCCAGCACAATCACCTTCGAAACCACAATCACAATCACCTTCGAAACCACAATCACAATCACCTTCGAAACCACAATCACAATCACCTTCGAAACCACAATCACAATCACCTTCGAAACCACAATCACAATCACCTTCGAAACCACAATCACAATCACCTTCGAAACCACAATCACAATCACCTTCGAAACCACAATCACAATCACCTTCGAAACCACAATCACAATCACCTTCGAAACCACAATCACAATCACCTTCGAAACCACAATCACAATCACCTTCGAAACCACAATCACAATCACCTTCGAAACCACAATCACAATCACCTTCGAAACCACAATCACAATCACCTTCGAAACCACAATCACAATCACCTTCGAAACCACAATCACAATCACCTTCGAAACCACAATCACAATCACCTTCGAAACCACAATCACAATCACCTTCGAAACCACAATCACAATCACCTTCGAAACCACAATCACAATCACCTTCGAAACCACAATCACAATCACCTTCGAAACCACAATCACAATCACCTTCGAAACCACAATCACAATCACCTTCGAAACCACAATCACAATCACCTTCGAAACCACAATCACAATCACCTTCGAAACCACAATCACAATCACCTTCGAAACCACAATCACAATCACCTTCGAAACCACAATCACAATCACCTTCGAAACCACAATCACAATCACCTTCGAAACCACAATCACAATCACCTTCGAAACCACAATCACAATCACCTTCGAAACCACAATCACAATCACCTTCGAAACCACAATCACAATCACCTTCGAAACCACAATCACAATCACCTTCGAAACCACAATCACAATCACCTTCGAAACCACAATCACAATCACCTTCGAAACCACAATCACAATCACCTTCGAAACCACAACCACAATCACCTTCGAAACCACAACCACAATCACCTTCGAAACCACAACCACAATCACCTTCGAAACCACAACCACAATCACCTTCGAAACCACAATCACAATCACCTTCGAAACCACAATCACAATCACCTTCGAAACCACAATCACAATCACCTTCGAAACCACAATCACAATCACCTTCGAAACCACAATCACAATCACCTTCGAAACCACAATCACAATCACCTTCGAAACCACAATCACAATCACCTTCGAAACCACAATCACAATCACCTTCGAAACCACAATCACAATCACCTTCGAAACCACAATCACAATCACCTTCGAAACCACAATCACAATCACCTTCGAAACCACAATCACAATCACCTTCGAAACCACAATCACAAT